TTTGACATCTTTGATACAAGTAACGAGTTCACTTCCAAGTGAACAACCCGATAGTCTTCTTCTTATCATAGCATACCAACCAGCGAACACCCAGCCAAGTTTAGTTAGCCAGTTTGAGTATTCGTTACACAATTCTATAAAGTTAGTACTTTAAACCGTGACCATTTCTTTTAGTAATGTTTTCGTCTCGGATTTTCTTCTTAATATATACTATCTTATACCGCTTAGCGCTCTTAGTCGTTTAGCGTAACCGATTACATAGCTAGCGCTTCTTTATAGAGAGTTTATAATACTCTATTTAAGCCTTATATAGCTAATCTTAGACAGGGTTACGCGTAAGTTAACAGAGTATTTTATAGGTCTTGTTCGATATAGTAGATAGCTTTCTAAGCCTCTCTAACCTCTTCCTTTACCTCCTATACGTAGGAGAGCCTAACTCTTTATACTCTACTAGCTATGTGTTACGGAGTTGGAGGAATTGGGGGCAGATCACGTGTAGCAGCACGGCACGTGCGTGCTGCTGGCAGCCTGTATATAAGCTTCTGTTCCTCTGTAACTCTCTTCCTTCCTCACTTAGTTGTTCGCTCTATATAGCAGTTTCCGTTTGACTCCGTATTCATCACAGCAAGCAGTGGTTCACTCCACACGGTCACACTATGTATAGCCTGTTCTATAGGAGGGTATATATTAGCGTATAGTAGACGCTATAGATCGCTTGCCCTAGTACTCGGTAAGAGCGTCGAAAAAATAGAGTCTTTTAGGAGTATAATAATCTCCTAGCCTCGGGGGACCTTTTAATATATGAGTAGTTACTATATTATATTATTATTATTATAAAGTAGGATAATTAAAAGGTAGTCTTTATTTTATTATTTACGCTTAGACAGGTCTAGACCTGTTCTATGAACGGTTATACCTACTAGTAGTAGTAACAATACTAAAATTTAACTAAACTCGAGTAATAATAAGGAAGACTTACTATACTAGTAGTTCTATAAGTTAATAGGTACTTATTTACATATGTTTTTATTAGTCTTTGTAGTGAAAATACTCTACCTTTAGTCCTTTTATATACCTTATTTTTATATGCCAAGATCTAAATTTAGAGGCTGATTCTTGAATGAGGCTAATTTATAGGGGTTTTAATTATTTATAAGTTATCTAAATTTAGATTTAACAACCCTACAACAATGCAAAGACAATAATATGCGAACGACCTAATCAACGCCATTGGAATATCAAGAGGCCATGACTGTACTTACGACACAAGCCATGTCTATATGTATAACCCTCCTTTCACAGCCATCTTCAGCACACTATGCCCTCCTCTCGTTCCGTTCCACACTCAACTCGACCAAAATATATTCTCATCACCATCCTCTTTCCTCTTCACCAATGGCCAACGACCTGCCTCTTCCCTCGCCTCCATTTCCAGAGGCGGGGTAAGTAAATAATCACCACTCGGCAATTCATCCCCCTCAACTGGCCTGAAAAGACCCCCATCACCACTCCGTTCCATCTTCACACTCCCCTCCAAAAACACCAAACTCTCAGGCCCAGGCCCCAAAAAGAGACCCAGGCCCAATACTCAACAGCTCCCCCCCAGCACCGGCGTAACACTCCTATTCAACCTAATCCCCGGTCCCAGACCATCACTCTCCTTCCAAATCCACTGCCAATCCCCACCCTCATAGAAAATAAGATCCACCCATTCATTCCCCTCTTGTAGCGGCACATCCGGACTCCCCTCTCGACTCCTCAACCCCTGAAGCCGTCGTTGTTTCTCCTGCATCTTCCAAAGCTGCTCCACGATATTCACGGCTGTGGCACTATCCCACATTCCTTCCTTCCTCGGACAGCGCTTGAGCAAATCTACCGCTTCCCGTTTGAGACGCTGAGAGGTACATTTCACCGCTGCGTAGTAGAGAGGTCCGATGACGCCGAGGTCGGTGGAGAAGGTGAGTGCTGGCTTCCCGTTTTTGGCGTCCTGTTCTGCGGCTGTGATGAGTGAGCGACAGAGATTCACAACGATCTGGAAATCAGCCGTGAAGCGTTCGAAGCTCTGGGGACAGTTTAAGGCCTCGGATATGGGGCGATGGTCGGTGTTTGGGGGCGTCATGTCAGACATTATCCGCACGACTGTGTGGTGGATTTTCAGCAGTGCGGCGCCGCGGACTTGTTTGCTGGTAAAAGTTGAGGAATGAGCGTTCATGAATTTCTCGAATGCGAGGTTCCATTCGTGGAGTCTGGCTGGGTAAGTGGTGTGGAGTTCAAAGGTTTCGGGGGATTGTGAGATCATGGGAAGGTCGCCGTTGGATCTGAGTTTCGGTTGACTGTGTTATTAAATAAGGAAGTTGGAGTGCAGTGGGAAAGAACTTACAGGTAGAACGTTCGGAATAGACCATCTGCGCATTCGTTTATGGCACTTCGCGCTTCTTCCAAGGTGGAGAATGATTCTGGGAGTGATTTCCGCGGAGGAACGATCTTGGTGAGTTCTCGCGCGAATGCTACTCGGTCTCTTGGTAGACTGGTATCTATGTATAAGATTGACTGGACTCCTAATCTTAATAGCAATGGCGCGATGAGTTCCTCGATCATCGGGTCTTCGATTTTATTCTTCCGAAAATCTGCGAGGATTTTCATCCCGCTTCGTAGATGGACCTGCATCAAAAATTAGCGACCGACCTGATTAGACGAAATTGTACATACCATCGCCGTCCGGTAGAATCCCCTTAGCGAGTCAAAACACACAAACAACAAACAAGACATCAAAGCCGTAAGCGGTGCTTGCTTCCCACTAGCAAGACTCCTCCTCAAATGTCCCAAAGCCTTCGTATACTGATTTAGCGCAAAAGCCAAACTCTCTGCTACACCTCTTTCCTCCCTCTTCCGCGTAAACTCCTCATGCAAAGTAGAGATAGCAATGACAGTATGTCTCAAAGAAGGTTCCCCATGACTAGCCTGCAATAAAAGAGCATCCCAGAATCCATTCGCATAGAACCCATTCAGTTCTGGAGAGGTTTGGTTGATGAAATATGAGAATCCGCGTTTTTCTTGCGTGCTTCCTGGGATGGTACTGCTTATTCGTTGGGCGAGAGTGTTTGGGTTGCCGCTTTTGGTGAAAGAGGTGGGGATTTCTTGGTACCCGTCACAGGTCCTTCCTGTTGAGGTACAGCGCTTGCAAGATGGTTTTGCTTCGTCACATTTTATTCTTCGGATTCTGGAAATTATAGATTAGTTTTGGTTCAGAAATATGAATATGGGTAATGAACATACTTGCAAGTTTGACAGCCCGTCCTAGTTTTTGGACCACATTGTCTTCGTCTTCTTACTTGAGGAGTAGCCATGTTACTGTTTCGACACGCCGGTATCTGAGATAATTGATTCATAACCATATCTTTCGATTCGTCTTTGTGTCACATGGAAAACCCAACTCGCAGCGGGACTTCGAATTATACAAATATACTCCCGAGATCAAGTCCTTCCATCATACCCCCTCCACGCAAGGTTTCCTTCGACGAGGCAACCCTGCAAACCGATGCTTATGAGGAAGACGTTTCTAACGCAGGGTGCGGCGCAGGGCCCGGAGCAGGGTTCATCTGATAGAAGCCTAATACCCAAAATCCAGCAACATCAGAATAACTCCTTAATTGGTGACTTGGGAAGTCCTTGGATCGTCAACGGTGCTCTTCGCCAAGCTTAATAGATGGGATATCAAAGTGGCTGACCGGATGGACAACCAGGAAGAGACGCCGGTAGGAAACCAGGCTTCAGCGGAAATGGAATCCGTTGGTCGATATTACGAAGGGACAAGGCTGTATCGTGCGTGTCTTACAAGGAGACTACGATTCTTGTGTAAGGCTGTGGCGTAATCTCTGTATGATCAATGGTAAGAGAGGGGAAGAAGAGGTGTGAGTGGATGTTACCGTAATGAATGAACGGCGGTGCAATTTTGATATCGCTGATCTGTTTAGACCCCACTTTCTGCCATATGGTGAGAGCAGGCGAGAGGGTGAGATGGAAGCGAAAGCGATCACAAAAGAGTTGTATGAACCCACCAATTACACCGCTCAATTGGTCATGAAATTGATGGCGTAAGCGATCATCTTAAACTCAATCGAGTCTATCAGATGGCCCCCAAACACAAAAATATGCTGTACAACCAGATTTCAGTAAATTCCGCACGATTATAACCACACATTAACCAAAAATAAGAAAATCTCTGAATCCCCATCCCCATCCCCATACTGCGGCTCAGCCTTCCGCAGCCAGGAACACAGTATCACCCGCGATCCATCCTACACAGATACCCACATTCCACTTGCCTGGCTTCCCTAGTATTCCATCGTACCACGCACCAAAATCCAGCCCTAGAGCCCTCATCTCACACCCCCCATTACACCTCCATCTAAAAACGTTAAATACACGATTTCTCGTGACATACCCAAACAGGAACCCCCCGGCGCCTCACCATACCATACAGTACAAGCACCGGGATCCGCCAGCAAAAAATAAGAAAAAAAGAACCCCACAAAAATCTGACGTCTTACATGCAGAAACCATGCAAAAAGACAATCTTTAATCTTTATTTCCCGTTAAGCTTCCCCCAAAGTTCGTTCTAGAAAGGGCTAAGGAATGAATCGGTATGATACAATACTTACATCCGGAAACTTTAAACTAAACCGTAGTATTCATTAATGATACCATCCACACCTCTTCCATCGCGGACGCACAACACAACACAACACAACACAACACCCCTTTTCCTGCACCCATCCATCCACCCCTGTTCCGACACCGAGTACGTGAAAGAACGGTACGGTAAGCACATCCATCGCAAACCCACCCTCCACACTAACACACACACACCATCCCATACATCGTGGTTTGCTTCCCCAATAAGCTTCTTTCCTGCGTAAACATGGAAGATTCTCTGTTCTGCTTGTAATCAATTGCAGAATACCTGACGTTCCATTCAAACCTCCATTACTTGAGTACAGTACTTCACCATGAACCGAAGACCCGTTTCGACTGGTTACTGGTTCAGAGACATTTTATCTACAGTACTGTATCAACCGAGCTACTGTACCAACATCTACATACATACATACATACAGTGCCATCCCCCACAGAAGCAAAGTAAAGTAAGAATCTCACATACATATATATCACTGCGACCTCCATTACTTGGGTACTCCACTCTGAATTGAAAACCTATCTCCACTGGTTACTGCTCCGGAGACATTTTATCTACAGTACTGTATCAACCTAGCTACAGTATCAACCGATCTACCAACATCTCCATACATCCCATACCTAACCCCCCCCCNCCACCCCAAAGAACCAAAGCAAACCAATCTACAAAACAAACCAACCTAAGATTCTCACCTACATACAGTACCATCCCCCTCCATATCACCATCGCCATCCCCTCCCTTCGTCCGTCCGTCCGTCCCTCTCTCACACCAAAACCTGCAGGTATACGAGGGAGAAAGAAGGATTGGTTGGAACTTGGATAATTCCCATCTCATCCCATCCCATCACAGTTACATACGAAAAAGTGACCAAAACGATAGCATCATAGCTCTGAAATGGGGATACAGATACGGGTTAGTGATATAAGCTTATGATTAAGGCATTCGGATGAGATTCCTTGATCTTGAAGTTGCGCTTTTATGGTAGTGCTCTACAGTACATACAACCTTCTCGACCCCTTCGTGACATCATCTTTCTCCCCATCTGTACAGTAATCTGAAGGTCGTCGATGTAAATGCATATAACGACTTCGTTCTTGTTAATCATGCATGATTGATTCATTTGTCGCTGTTAGTTTGTGGTGATAGACTCAAATCCCATGAATTCAAGAAATCCCTCGAAGATAAACCATACTCTAGCAGCTCGCTTTACACCGTACAAAAATTTCAAGACCCCGTAGATAAAATCATACTACTTCATACCCACACTCATGGACAAACACCGCTATAGTATTCGCTCCTTGAACTTCTCTACTCCTACCATGCTACTCTACTTCTCTTCTTCTCTCTTCTCTACACTTCTTCTCTTCTCTCCTCTCATCCTGCCCGCGATAGGAAGGTAGTACCTCACTTTCCCCGTGTATAGAATTCTCATTTTTTTAAAGAGAAAAAAAAAAAAGAAATTCACGACAAGTCCATGCAATCCACGTATGCATACCGACCCGAACACAATGAAATCTTTGCCTACCATACCCTACCAACCGTATTTACAAGAAGGCAAAGAGGTAAAAAAAAAAGGAAACCGCCGTACACAAACAAGACAGACACATTTCATGTACCCCACCATACCATCCATCCGCATATAGTACACGCCGCAAAATGCAGTAACTCCGCAGACCAGACCAAAGGAGCAGAAACCCAAAGCATACACGTACAACTTCATCATCCCATGTTCCCCTAAGAAGATTGTCCGACAACGAGTATAATAATCACCTCGTTGCCTCAATCGCAGCATTCAACGGAACAACTCTCAAACTCCTCCCTCTCCTCAACCCCCCGTCCATACTCGCACCTCCAATCCCTGCCTGCCTCACAAGAGTAGGGGTAAGTTCTTCCCTCCAACATCGAAAGATACCCTTCATATCCCTCGGAATGCCCTCAATAACCACCGTCGACACAGGGACAAACGGTCGATCCTCCATACTGGCCGCGAAAATCCCATACTCCTGCACAAAGGTAAGAGCATGATGGAAACTGACATATTCGCCCTGAGCTTTCGCGCCAACCACGATGTAGATCTCAAAAAAGGCATCGAGGATGTAGATCTTGGAGGGGAGAAGGTCCGCTTGGCCAAAGGGGCTGATTTCCGTAATCTGTCAGAGTTTTGCGGGTTAGTTACAAAACCCATGAATGTGAAGATCATCGCAAAGAGCCGATGGACTGCTTACCTGTTTCTTATTGGAGGCGTCAGCACAGAAGAGACGACTGCAGTACTTGCTGTAATTGGGTTTTAATCTCCAGTGATCGGCAGAGACAGGTATCTCTGTGCCACCAAAAACGTCCAAGAAAGCTTGTGTTTCCTTGCCGTCTTCAATCTCCTCAATTTCACCTGTCAATCCAAAGTCCATGCCAATGAGTCGAGCGCAGCTAAGTTCTTCAATGCCGCTACCTTTTCCCTTCCACAAATATGATTTCCCGGATGGCGTGGAGATGAGATATGGAAATCCCGAGCATAGGCTGTTTTGATTGAAATCCACTTCGTCGAACGCAATCTGCCCAAAATATTTCTGCCCGCATAATATGTGAGGCGCTAGAGAGTCAAATTTATTCATGGTGCCACGTCTGATGATCAGGATTCCTCCGATGGCTTGGAAGAATTCAGGTGTTTCTTTGCCTTGATTAAGAACTATCAGTTTGGCACCAGCGCTCTTAGCCTCCTTACGAGCAACAGCCTCAACCTCTGCGGTGGTTTTCCGAGGAACACTATCACCTAGCCAGTAGTACATCTCAGATACCGTCTTGCCAGCCTTGTTAACAAAGTTGTGGTAGCATAAGTAAAGGTTGCCCTCGAATAACATGCGCTCCTGATGGCTGGGGACTACCTGCTTTTGACCATCTGCGCTGATCACGTACAGAGTTGAACGTAAGGTCTTGATGCTGTTGTCGTGATCAGGCCGTGCAGCCAAAAGTTCCACGGTATCAACACGATATTCTTGTGGTGGTGGCTTCTGTTTACCGAAAAATCCGGTGACCAATTTCGATGCTTCGGAGGCCTGTGGAACCATGCTATCGGCGAGTTTCGGAGACACATTGAAGGAAGAATTAGCAGCACTTAATGGAGCTGATATGATCTTCGTTGGTATAGGAAGCGGTCTCGCGAGAGCGGGTTTCGGTGTTTCAATGGCAACCGGTGATGCAATTTTGGGTGGTGTTCGGGATCGCAAATTGATAGGGACATTGGTAGCATTTTGATCCACGCGTGGAGACAACTTAATCGGCGATTGGAGTTTAGGCGGACTTGGAGATCGCAAAACAGTCGACTTTATGGTAGCATTCTCATCCTCTTGCGTGGGTGACTGGACTGGTGATGTGACCTTAGCTGGAATTGGAGAGCGTAAACCAGGAGACACCATGGTCCTATATTTGTCCTCCTCTACAAGCTTGGCTGGCGATTGAATATTAGGTGGACTTGAAGTCATGACAGCATTCTTGTACTCTTGCTGAGACAACTTGATCGGCGACTGGAGTTTAGGCGGACTTGGAGACCGCAAACCAGCTGACTCCATGGGAGCATCCCCATCGTCTTGCGTGGGTGACTTGATTGGTGATGTGACTTTAGCTGGACTTGGAGAGCGTAAACCAGGAGAAACCTTGGTCCCATATTTCCCCTCTTCTACAAGCTTGACTGGCGATTGAACCTTGGGTGGGCTTGGAGAACGTGTACCAGACTGCTCCATGGGAGCATCCTCATCCTCTTGGGTGGGCAACTTGATCGGTGAGTTGACTCTAGGTGGAGTTGGAGAGCGTAATCCAGTAGAGACGGTGGTAGCATTTTCGTCCTCTTTCATCGACAGCTTGGCTGTTGATTGAGCTTCGGGTGGGTTTGGAGAGCGTAAGCCAGGTGATACCGAGGCAGTACTTTCGTCCTCGTGTATGGGTACCTTAACCGGCGATTTGACGCTAGGTGGATTTGGAGAGCGTAAACCAGGAGAGACTATGGGACCATTTACATCCTCTGCAGGTGGTTTCCCTGGCGACTCAACCTTTGGTACATTGGGAGAGCGCAAATCAGTCGACACTTGAGCAGCGTCATCAACGTCCTGAGTAGGAAGTTTGACTGGTGATGTGACTTTGAGTGGACTTGGAACTACCACAGTATTTTCGTCCTCTTCTGCAGGTAACTCGATGGGCGCTTGATGCCTGTTAATGCGACCTCGCCAATTCAAAACAGGACGAACCAAGTCGGCATTCCCATCGTCTTGCGTAGGTAGCTTAACTGGCGATTGAACTTTGGGTAGGCTTGCAACCATACCAAAATTTTCGTCCTCTTGGTTTGATAGTTGAAGAGGCGCCGGTTTAGGCTTATTGAGTCGATCTCGCCAATTCAAGGCAGGTCGGACGAAACCAGCATTTCCATCGTCTTCTGCAGGTAGCTTGACTGGCAATAGAACCTTCGGTGGACTTGGAGCTATAACAGTTTCTTCGTCCTCTTGACTAGGAAGTGTGATTGGAGTTGTGACCTTGGGTGTGGTTGGAACTATTGGAGCAGTTTCCGATGTTTCAGTCTGGACAGCAGATGGTGATTGAATATTGAACGACCGGGGAGACCGCAGACCCGCTGACTCCGTGGCAGCAGTTTCGATATCGTGTATGGATTGTTTGATTGGAGATTGGACCTTCAGCGGGGGGGTTGGGAGTGGTCTTGCCATATCGGGCTTTGGTTCTTCATCGACTTCAACTGGGCTTCGAGATCGCAAGCCTGCAGAAACCATGGCAGCGTTTTCGTCATCTTGTGTAGGTAGTTTGATTGGCGAACGAGCACGGGGTGATAATTGAGGAGACCTAGATTCTGCAGCACTATTCCAAAGAGCAGTAACACTCTTTACCCTCTGCAGAGATTGTGGTCTGCTTTTGTTGGAGCTGCTGATATCCGAGGTTTCGGGTTTGGGGGATTCAGGATTTGAGGATGCTGTAGATTTAGTAAGGTATGAGGATGCTGTGGGTGTGATCGGGCTTGATTTGAGTGTGTCTTGCGATGGGGATAACGGTCCTGTTTTTTGAGCGTTTTCTGAAAAGAGGCTTGGCGAAAGTTTTGCAGATCTGGGGGAATCAAGACTGGGTGATTTGGTATTCAAAGGTATCTCGGTCGTATTAGCAATCTTGATAGGTGAAAGTGGTTTAGGGGAGTCCAACTGCGTTTCGACTTTGCCCGTCTCATTAGCAGCGTCTTGAAGGAATTGTGATCGTCTTTTCATATCCAATTTGCGAGGAGAAGGAGGTTGTGATGCAGAAGATTCGCCCTCAAACTTGGTAGGTGATGAAGGTTTGGAGGATGATGCCGCTTTCTCAAATAGTGGACTTGTGATCTTCGTAGGCGACAAAGGCTTTGCAGGCGACGATGTCTTTTCGCTTGGTGGAGTAGGAGATTTGGTTGGTTCGGCGGCACTAGTAGAAGTAATATTATCCACCGAAACTGGAGCCGCAGGGGCAGTGGTGGGATTTCTCCTCTTTGGACCACGAGCGCGACCTTTGGTCATATGTGTAAGTTGCGGTCCTGCATCTGGCTCACCCACTGTAGTAGACGTGCTCATGCTCACTGTACGCTGTGAAGAAGTAGACATTGCCGGACTCGATGAACGGTCGCTACCGGCAGATGGTGGACCTCGAGCAAGTAACCCTGCCAAAGCTGGATTGAGTCGACCAGCGAGCTTTCCTCCTACCGAACCTCTTCCTGGAACGGGAACGGATTCGTTAGGTACTTTTGTGGGCGTGTTTGATGGCGGGGAATCAACCTGTTCCATGGGAGACCTACTCGGGGGACTCAAAGGTCCTGGCTGGTCGGTTTTTGTCATTGCCCTCCTTCTGGCCAATGCCTCTGGTATAGTATTCTCACTGACCGATCCGCTGGATGGCCGAATGCCTTTACCCTCAGCCTGAGCTTTTTTGAAGTCTTCCTTCTTCTTCAAAATGGCATCTTTGAACTCATCCACTCTTTCAGTCTTCTTAGGACCACCAGTAATATTCAGAGCTGCCTTCCCACGTGTAATATTATTCTTCAATTCGTCTGGTGCAACATAGTTCTGCGTCTTGGTCCGTTTGAGTTGACCAAACACATTCTTGAACTCCGGTTCAGTAGATCCACTGTTATCCGAGGGAGACAGTCGAGATTTCAAGGAAGCTCTAAAATCATTTGCGGGAGGTGTATCGGGCGTGAATTTTGCAGCCATGAGTGGTGGTGATTTTGCTTTGATTGGGGGTGGAGAGGGCTTGCCACTTCCTGGAGTTCCAGGGCTTTTCAACGGTTCTTGTGAAATGCTATCAGCACGACTCTTAGAGATAGCTCCGGCCACGAAACCAGCCGGAAGTCCACTGATACTCATGGGTTTAGGGGGAGCCCCAGGAGCGGGAGATCTCATAAGGCCGCCCACTTTGACTTCGTGTCTTGCTGCTGTTGGACTACGACCAAGATCCACGCTACCCTTTTGCTTCGCTTTGGCGATTTCCGCCATCCACGCAGGTTGCTGTGGAGGGGGTGTAGCTTTTGGTTTTGGAAAATCTGGTTTGTTCAGTGCACTTTCAAGCCAACTGGATTTCGTCGGACTCCATCTTCTGGTATCGGCTGTCTTCGTAGGGCTGGCCGGAGGGGATGCATCTGAACGACTTGCAATATCCGGAGAGATCTCGGAGGCGACTGACAGAGGTTGTGGGGTACTGGCACGGGAGACTGGCAGTGCAGGTTTGACAAATGCCTCACGACTAGGAGATGGATTTCCCCCTGATGAATTCTCTTGACCAGCGCTGAAGTTATGGCTCGAGTTAGGCCTTGAAGAAGGTCGAGGGGAGTTTTGTCCACTGAAAGCTGCCGTATTCGCAAGACCTGGTGAGATATTGCCATTGTCATTGTTGCTTCTATTACTGGCCAATGAATTTTTTCTACCTATACCAGTGGGTGATTGAACGCTCCATCTTTTGTTCACGCTATCTGAACGTTTCATCATTGCACTTTGAACGAATCCACCCATGCCTTTCGTAGGAGAAAGAGGGCGATCAAGTCTATCTGGGGATATTCGACCCTGAGAAGGGGACATTGCCATTCCTCGATCAGAGTTCGCGTCTGAATCAGGCGGATCGAGTCGGTGGGCGCTTACCGTTGGAACTGGGGAACCGAATAATCCAATGGCGCTTTTGGCATCTGGTGATTTTCGACTCTCGTCAAAATCAGGGGGGTCGAATCGCTGGGTGCTGATCTGGGTAGTGAGACCTGAAACTGGAGAACCAGATAATCCAGTCACGCTCTTGGGAATTGGAACTCTTCGACTCGCGCCAAAATCAGGGGGATCGAGTCGCTGGGTGCCGAGACTTGGAACTGGAGAGCCGAATAATCCAAAAACGCTCTTGCCAACTGGAGATTTTTGAGCCTCGTCAAAATCAGGGGGATCGAATCGTTGGGTGTTGATCCTGGTGCTGACACTTGGAACTGGAGAACCAAATAATCCGATGACGCTCTTCGAATCCGGTGTCATTTGACGCTGAGGAGGCATGACCACCCCACGAAATGAGTTTGACTCGGGGGGATCAAGTCGCTGGGCACCGACCATTGGAACTGGGGAACCGAATAATCCAACGACGCTCTTGGAATGACTGTGGTAGGACCCTCTTTTAGGACTGCCGCCATGTATAGTATTCCTTCGAGGAGAAGAAGGTCGGCTCGTTGAATCCTCTGCGGGTTTTTCCAATGATACCTCGCGCAACATTCCGGGCATTGGTACTCTAGGAGAGTTCTGCCCATGATCGGACCTCGCATCGTCCTCCACCTGTGTGCGTCTATATGCGGGGGAATTCATGCCTCGATCTGCTATCTGCCGAAACCAAGAGGGATCTTTATCGGATAGTGATTGTGCGATCTGTTCTCGAGAAGGGGTCGCTTCTGCCGGGGCAGATATGGGTTCTCGTGGTGATGGGGTTTTGGGTGATCGAGCCGCGTTTTCCATCGCGCCCCTCGACAGCGGTCGACTTTTGGATGGATCTGAAGATTGTGTACTTGGCCGTCTCTGCCAGGACAGAGGCGAGTTTCTCGAAGGCATCGCGCTCGAAGGAGAGGTCGGTTTTATGAGATCGGTTCGCTGAAGATCTGAGCCCGCAGGACCTTCACTGGAGCGCAGCGCCATATTGTGATTTTCTTTATTGGGGGAGCTTGACCTCGACCTCGACCTAGCTGAGGCCTGCTGATCCATCGTGTCCTCTGCCTCTGCTGTGGTTTCTTGCGCTGTTGCTTTCGGGCTCGAAGGGAGCTGTTGGTCGGCGGTCGTTGGGAGGATCGATGTGACTCTCGGCGCGGTTGGCGTATTGGCAGGTGAAGACTTGGTCGGGGAGATCGACCTGGCGCGCTCTGTGTTGTTTGGCGTTAGTTTGGGTTGAATACTCTCGCATCATCACCTAGCATTCCATTTTCGTGGTTCCTGGCTCGTGGCCACTGGGAGGAGGGGTTGTGTAGTGTAGTGTAGGTAGGGCGGCGTGCACGAGGGGGATCACGAAGCGTCGACCAAAACAATCAACACCGAGTACAGTATAGGTATGCAAACTCACCCGTTCGTCTTGCTTGTCGTTCCTTGCGGCCTTGCAGAATCTCTTCCTCGAGCTTTCGATTGCGCTCCTCGTCTTCCTGGTCTCGCTTGTCACCCAATTCCTTGATGCGTTGGAGGAAGTCGGTGACATCTTCCGAGCCCTCTTGGCCTCCTGCTATTGACGACATGATGTCGAGGCGAGGGCAGATGAATTCACTAGTACTAGTGAACAAGAGGAGCGTCCACTGCTGGGCACAGGCGCAGGCACAGACACAGACACGGATCGGGTCAGGGCAGGGTAGGTAGGGAGAGCAGCAAACACAAAACACATCCGCGCAGCGGGGGAGGTCGTGGGAGGAAGAGAACTTTATCGCTGAAGTCGAATGGATGGAAGCAGGTTAAGCGAGGCAGAGTTTACCTGGTTGTGGATACGGAGTACAGCGTACGAAGGGTGATGGGGGGATGGGGGGATGGGGGTGGATTGGTGTTGCCATCGTCAACATTCTTTCTCCCTCCTGCCGTGTGCCCTGGCCTGGATGGCCCAGGATCTACTCCGGGGCCAGCTGCAGGTCGCTTGCTAGCTGGTGCTAGTATTGCCAGGCGAGGTAGCGAGGGAGGTGAGGTGATGTACGAGTTGGGTTGCACCTTCCACCGTGACCTTCTGCCTGTGTTTCACATGACTGTCACTTGATTCCATAGCAACCTCTATACAAAACAATAACATGTCCGCATTGGGAAAGTAAATGTAACTTTTGATAATCGATTTGTTTTCTGAAATCCGTTTCCGTTATATCTTCACTCGATGACCACTCCGTGGCACGCAGTGGATTCATTTATGCGTTTCTCGCGCATAAGACACGGATCCCTGTGTCATAGCTACCGTCAGAGGTTCGTCTCGTCACTGGCATAATAAACAACAGTAATAGTAAACCACCGAAGCTTCAAACGTCGATAATTAAGAATACATGCCTCGATATAAGAATTGTAGAGTATCAGGATGTCGATGTCTCCGACATGTATATTGGCAATGATTCGCACACGTGGAGATCTCAGGACGAAAAAAGAGCTCGGTCAGAGAGGACCCAGCGCTCCACTTTCGGGCACCGGGCTCAGGCTGAAAGTGCCAAGACTAATACCCTAGTGTGGAGATCTCGCTTCTCTTCAACGTCACTTCACTCACTCTTCACTTCTTTAAGCAACACTGCTTCAGAACACAACCACCAAGATCTTGAATTGATTGTGCATCAACAGCCTCAAGTAGCTGGCATTGTTCGTCGGAGAGAACTTCATCTTCATTGCTTGGTCTGGTTCAGTTGCTTGTTCCTATGATTGAGTTCAGTGTGCATTTGGTGTAGAGCATGAACTTGATATCTGGAATACTTACATTGAACTGTATCACTGAGGATGAAAGACTCAACGATGGCCGGTGACTTAGGATATTTCTATATGCCTAAACGCTGTGTGGTGGATTGTGTAGTTGAATGATCGCAGCTTATATGCTAGGGCCACTGAGAAAGTTCGACCTACTACAAGAAACAGTCTTTAGTGTGCTAATCTGAAGATTCTAGAAATAAAAGAATTGTGTTAGTTAACTCCTTTTATATACTAGAATTTTCACTTCCAGGGTAGTTATATTATGTTCAAGCTATTCCTTTCTTTTGATTCTTACTATTGAACAACAATTATTAAAGTAAGTCATTTAGTTATTACTCTGTAAAAACATAGCCGTTACTTTATATACACCTCTCTTTGAAGAAAATTAGTCCAAAAGCGTCGCCCAATCAGAATAGTTATATAAAGAGCTTAGAATAACTGTTAACTCTTACTTTGCACTAGCCTAGGTATCCAAAGACAATTATTTTGCTTGTACTACAAGTTTAATATAATGGATTTTTATATAGGGTATAAGATACCTGGTCTTGATCTATACACACTATATAAAAATCCATTATACTAAACTTCTAGTATAAGCAAAACAATTGTCTTAGGATACCTAAGCTACTAAAAAGTAAGCGTTAGCGGTTATACTTAACCTTTTATATAACTGTTTTAGTTATACGAGTCGTTTAGGATAATATTATTCTAAGAGAGGTGTGTACACAGAGTAAAGACTACGCCCTCTTACCTTAGTAAACAATCATTACTTCTAAGTTTTTATTGTTCGGTTAGTTCTGGTCTATTAAAAACTAATACAAGCTAGTCTATATTATAGTATATGTAAGTAACTATCTCTGGCACATTCCCTTTTATTCTTTTATGTTTTATTTAATTCCTATAATAGCACAACAATCATACAGTGAACTTCACTTGTTGGTTGTCACTCGGCCTCTGTTACTGCTTGTTAGAAATCGGTATGATTGAAACTAATATAGCCAAAAGGCTACATTGTAACAGTGTTAGCTGCTTTTTGACATTCTTACTGTGCTTATGTTATAGTACTTTCAGTCCCGCAACAGGTGGCACCAGAATCATGAAGTGAACATCAATTGTCGCCTTGTTTACTACAGGTTCGGATTCCGAGATCCACAAAGTTAACAAGATCAAGACCAGACTATGAACAGTTTTGTCTTCTCTCTCTAGCACTTTTACTTTAGTAATATCTCTCTCAATTCTTACAATAGCAACAGAACTATGAATTGAACATCGCTTCTTAGTCGGTTTCCTGCTAGTCAGTTATCCTCAACACAACCCCACCCCAACACAACCAGACTGCATGCAACCAGAGTTGACAGTTCTTTCCTTACTTCCTTATCTTTCAATTGACGTTCTCTTTTATCTTGTTATCTTGTCGCGCCTTCTTGCACAAAAGAGAGAACAAATGGAAGGTGAAAGTGAGTTGGTTTCCGGCCCAAGCTCCCTTCCCAACCACCATGATAGCCTTGGAGGGCTCCTGCCCTTCTCTCTTGGTAGCCTATGTTTAGCCTCAGATTCTTCCCCTCCTTCCTTCCCTTCTTTCTTCCCTTCTTTCTTCTTTGCGACCTCGTTCGCCCCCACACAACGCATTATTGCTCCTGGCTCCTTGCTCCCTACCCTGCCACCATGTCGCATCTTACAAATTCATTCGCTAAAACTAAACACCTTCGTGTGGGTAATACATATGCGGACATCGTTCGCAGAGGACCTGGTCCACAGTCTTTAGGTAGCCTGGCAACGTTGCGCGCAGAAGAGGAGGAAAAGAAGGGAGGAAGGAACGATCCCAGCGTGAGTACCTTCCACTTTCCCAGTTTGCGGTCGCAGTCAACAAACGCTGGTATCCAATCATTAGCCGAAAAGGACCCAGAAGCTCATGGTCGCTCTCTTGTGCAGGAACTCGACAAAGCGTGCAATGTCCCCCTCCCCCTCTCACCTGTTGCAAGTCCAACCACCACCAGCCCTATCATTACAACTCCTTCACCCAAGGGTAAGGGTAAGGGCAAGGAATTGGACCCAACCGCATCCCCATATTGCGGCTTCACCATCTATCCTGAAAATCAGATACTCGGTCACGAACCTGAGGCCAGCTACGATACGAGCGCGCTTCTAGCAGCTTTCACTCCCGAACGACCTGTCGCTGCTCCCTCTCCAGTCGACTCGGATCTACAATCCACGCAGTCGACCAAGGATCGCCGCACTACCGCCATGTCGCAACTCAAGGACGCTCTCGGCGGCAACTATCCAGCTGGAGGCGTTACGGGTCAAGATGCATTTGATTATATTGACTGGGACCCCGATCTACCATCTGCCTCGGGCGCGGACTCTCCTGAGCCCGTCGCCCTCAAGCCGCAACCGGTGGTCACATATACGACGGTTGGTTCTCTCGTTGACCCCAATGCGAAGCCAACCTTTGCTGCTCCAAACCGCATCCAGCGGGAAGGTGCCAGCAGACAACCCTTGATCTCGGCCATGCAACGAGCCCATCAGTTCGAGGCCTTCCATCGTGCAATGAATCCGCCGCCGCCGACCCCATCAGCTTTGAGCATGTCCAACTCGATGGCATACACTCAGCAGATTGCAAAGAGCCCAGTTCATGCATCGAGGCCAACTCTCCAATCGCCGCAGATCTTGCAACGTCCTTCTCGAACCACCCCGTCTCATCAAATGCCTCCCTTGTCCGACAAAGAGATGGAGACATTGGCTAGAATTCAGAACCCCCAGATGATGTCTGGCAATGTTGGCAATGCTGGCAATCAACCCAAGACCCCTTCTACTACGTCCACATCGTCTAGCAAACTCTGTGCTGTGGCTCCACCCTTCGCGACCAAGGAACACACCGATGCCGCCGCCGCATATTCATCAGTGGGTAGTTTGTCCCAAGGTATTATGGACAATTTGGGTCTAGGCCAAGGTAGTGTGGGCCAAGGCAACTCAAACGTGAGCTCTCGTACCGAGAATGAGCGGAGATATGAACAGGCTATTGACGCAGCATCCAAGTTTGAAAATGCCCTTACGGATCTCCTCACAAGTAAGTCATACCTTGATCCCATATCTGGCTATTCCCTAACCATTTTTAGTTCGCCCTTCGATTCAAAATGAAAATGTTCCACCTGGTTTCCTAGATAGAACCTATCAGTTCCCACCCCCTGGTCTTCAAGCTCCACGAGCAGTACAAACCAACCCTCTTCTTGGTGCCCAGACTACATTAACAGTTCGACCCGCCGGTAGTCGCAGCCATCCTCCAGGATATCCACAACCTCTTACTGCTGGACCACCTGGTCAACGACAAGCCAACCCTCGAGCAACGCCAACTCCCCTTGAGAACATCTGGAACACAACTCAATCTGACTATACCAGCAACACCTCCCACGATCCTCTCTCTGGCAATACCCGATTGAGCCCATTCTGGCCAAACTACTACGCCGCCGTCGTCACGAGCAATGTCTATGCCACCGGACAATGTCAACTTCCAGCCGCAATCAGAGCAGAGCGCAAGAGTTCCAAAGATCTGAACTCACGCTACATTGACCCATTTGCTCCCAAGCCAATTAATGATACCCTTCCTCCTGATGCAGTTGCAAAATACTTCCCATGGGGTATTCCAAGTGATATGACGGGTGTCTGGCAGCCGATGTCGGATGAAAACCAAAAGAAGATTGATGGTTTGGAGCTTACCCCTACAGAATTAAAGGCTCGATCGCAAAGAGAGCTTGATGACAATTTCTACTATGGTCAACGTAGATATGCAACCATGGATGGAGAGGCATATGTCGCAGAGCTTGAAGAACGTCAGAATGCTGCCATCAACCCCTTTGGCCCTATTGCCCCTCCAAAGAAGGTTTATCCTGCCGGACCTGCAGCTACACCGCAAATTTCCGTGGAGGAGATGGAGAAGATGTCGATTGCGGAAGCTGCCAAACCTGGTTTAGATGCCGCTTTTGGTACACTACTCAGTTATCGATATATTGAGCAAGGCCCTACCTCCCGATCTCATCTCAGCCAATTCGTCACAGCTCCCAAGTGGCAAATTGATGACAGCGAAAAGGGTAACCAAAGTCTCTTTGGCGAGGATTGGGGTGCCCCACCAAAGCGATTTGGCAGAGATTCTCGACGTCAACCTCCTTACTGATCGGTTGGTGAGACATTTACGATATCTTCTGGTTCACCTGCCAGATATTCGCTGAGTGCAGACGAGAATGATCATGATGAACGTCTTGGAGCTCGCGATTCTAAGCTCATCGTTATCCTTTCAACGATCATGGATCTTTCGACCAAGTCTGCTTCTTTTTTGCCATGTCCTTTAGACTTACCTCTTTGACTGGCTACCTTTTTTTCGAGAGGGGATTCAGGGTTGCACTTTTTGCATCTTGCATGTTTTTGCTTTTTGCTTTTCTTGCTACTTCTTGAAGATACCCCTCTTTTTCACGACGGCCTTGGCTATTGTTGCTATTGGCGACTGCTTTGATTTACGTTTTTTTCTTTTTTCCTTTTGTTTTTGCTGTTAATCTTCAGATGACGTTTCCGTGGAGCTTTCTAATGATGTGGTGGGGTGGAAAAAGATGAGATCAAATTGATGACTGCATGAGAGATGAGAAATGAGAAATGAGATTGACGAATGATGAATGATGATGAATGGATGGATGGGATAGATCGTACATAGCTCGCACGGACGTCACTGATGCCACAATAGGTGGTGTTGATGAATAAATTGTCGTTAAATAATGTTTTGGTGTGATGATTTGACTGTTTTGCTTGATTGTGCTTGGTTGTTCGTATTAGAATCATCCGCAGGTTTGAGGTTATACCCAATCTTAATCCTCGGATATTATTCTCTATTCTATCCCATTCGGATGCCGCTGTGTTGGAGGGGATAGAGACTAGGATGGGATAGAGGGAGTGGAGTAGGTTGTGGGTTGTGGTTCGTGTGTTTCTGGAGGGACTTAGATTCTGGATTCTAGATTAGTAGGAGATATACTTTTGAGCTGGTGAGATGGGATGGGATGGGATGGGATGGTATGATTTACCGTATTAGAGATGAAAATGAATAAGACGATTTAAATTTACAGTTTAAGAAGTTAGAGAATCGTATGATTCTTATATTTTGTTATTTTTTACCCTATGTAACATTTTATTATGGTTCGTATGTGGGGAGTAAGAAAGTAGGAAAGTAAGAAAGTAGGGTACTATCGTGGTAAGTATTGTTGTTTAGGGGTTTGATGTGTGGTGAGGCTCAGCGTAGCGTGGAAAAGGATTTGATTTGAGTAAATTGAATGGAAGGTCTTTGTGGGAAGAGGGGGGCTTGTGGGTTTGTGGAGGTTGTGTGGGGGATTGTTGGAGGGGTTTGAGGAGATTTGATAGGAGGTATTGTATTATGGACCTTGGAGTTTGTTTACTGTAGGTAGATGGGGAAGGGGAAGGGGAATGAGAGGAAAGGAAGGATGGGATGGTAGGATGGGTGATGGGAGGTAAGCAAGAGTAAGAGGGAGAGTATGGATACTAGCCTGATCTAAAAAACCCCAAGAGAAAGTGAAGATTCTATTGGGCTTCTCAAGGGGCGATGAATGGGGAGGTGATTGGAAAGTCTTTTTATTAAGTAAGTTGTGATATGATTTTGTGGTTGGTGGATAAATAAATAGATAGAGGAAGACAAAGGAAAGGAAAGGGGAAGAGAGAGAGAGAGAGAAATAGAGAGAGATAGAGTTACATGTCTGGATCTGATCTTAGTCCGCTTCTATCTATACCGACTCCAACACCAACTCCAGGGTTTCCATACCGCCCAATAGAAGGGATTTAAAGTTAAGCGCAGGAACAAACAAAATCCTTCCTACCACCAAAAGAAAGAAGAAAGATAGATCCAAGAAAAAGTATCATCTGTCCACCCACCCAAAAAGACCGAATCTTTTTTCAAAACAAACCTGGTATAAAAAGGTGAAGAAGAACCCCAAACAAAACAACGAGATCCATCACTTCCCCTCCTTCCCCTCTCTACTCCTACTCCTCCAAATCCCCCTCCGCAAAAACGGCGGCTGGACACTAACCCCCTTAGCCTTCACCTTAATACCCAGCGCACTCTTGCTCCCTCTCCCTCTCCCCGCTTTACCACCATCGCCCTCGCTTTGAATACTCCCGCTCATGCTTGTGGTGGTTGTGGTATGTGATTCGGAAATTGAGGGGGATGAGGGGATGGGTTTTTCTTTCTCTTTTAAGGCAGAAGGACGAGTGTGAGAGGTAGAGGTAGAGAGTGGTGATGAAGGAGGAGAGGAGGAGAGGGAGTGGGTGGGTGATGTTTGAGAGGATGTTGGACGGGAGGGGGGAGAGGGCTCGGTTAGGCGGTCGCGACCCCACCATTTTAGGAGGGTTTCTTTTTCTTTGGTTGTTAGTGGTGGGGGTGGCGGGTGTGTGGTGGATTCTGGGTGGTCTGAGTGGTGAGGGAGGTGGTCTTGATGTGGTGGGTGTGGGGGTTGGTGCAAAGGTGCCATTTCTGTGTCTAGGTCTTGGTGTGGGATTGCGGTGTAGTGAGTGTCGAGGGGATGGGGTGGGTTGTAGGATGGGATTTCTATTGTTGGGTTGTTGAAGGTTTCTTGTGGGTCTTGGTTTGGGGTCTGATTCTGGTTCTGGTTCTGGTTCTGATTGTGGTTCTGATACGGGGTCTCATTGGAAGGAAAGGAAACAGGAAGATATCCATCTTGAATCCACCCGGAATTCCTCTTGTGTGCTGTTGAAAGCTCAGGTGTCCACCACATAGTGTTAGCATCCTCATGACTAGGGTCCGTGGTATAAGAAACATCATAACTCGGCAAGTTGGCCAAGAATTCAAGATCATAAGACGACAAGACGGATTCTATGGAATCGTGTTTAGGACGCAGAGAGTTCGAGGTGTCGGAGAATGGCATGTTGGTGGAATTCATGACGGAGGATATGCTCCATCGTGGTGATGTATCGGAGGTGGTCATGGAATAGAGACTTAGTCCATCGGAATTCTGGGGTGTGGAATCAGTGTGGTCGGAAAGGAAAGAGGGGTCTTGGGAGTGGATGGGGAGATCGCGACCGTCCAGAGGAATGTCTTCCGCTTTGGTGATGGTGTCTGTTTGAGCTTGGGGAATGGCTTCGAGACTGTTGAAATGTTGCTTGTTGCGAGAACATCTTTCGGGGTCGCACTATTATTGGTCAATATCTGTGAATCTATATTTTGATGAGGCAAGACTTACTTTCATCTTCTGCCTTCTATGAACGTCACAAGCAAATCCTCTGTTCGCAGCAACCTTCACCCTCTCCCCTTTATCATATCGTCTCCGTTTCGTCTTATGTCCATAACTCTTCATCCCCGAGTCCCATGTTAAAATCTGCAAGGCTGGTGCACTCGTGCCACCTTTATCATCCTTATCCTTACCATCCTTTCCCTCCATACTGACGGCAGCGGATGGCTCACGTGACACAACCTGCTCCCGACTTTTTGATTTCTTACCGTCTCTCTCCTGGCGCAGAAACCGTCGGGTAGCAGCTTGCATCTTACTAGCCAAATCAACCCGCAATGGAAAATGATAGCTCAAAGCAACGGCCAACTCCTTGGAGCCGACCGGTGGCTCCCATTGCAGGATATGCTCTTGACCGTACGAGATACGATACTCCGGAATCGAGAACTCTGATTCCGCTCTCGAAGATCGGTCCCGGGCTGGTGCTTGTTGGAGTGCTGTTGTATTGACCGGCTCCATATTTGCTCTGTACTAGACAATAACTGGAAAGAGCGGTATAGGTACGGTACAGAGACTTTGACTCTCGTCTATTCTCATGAAAAGATTGGCTTTTTGCTTGTTAGGGCTTATATTTTGTTCCATAAAGATGGACTACCACTGGCTGGGGGGAAAAGAGACGGTGGATGAAGGACTGGGAGAAGATGGGGTACCTTGTTTTGGTGGGGGATTTACTGGTAAAAGTATGGGGAGGTTACCGGCGTCCCGATTGGGAAATGCAAGGTTGGGATCCGGGTGTGGTGTGGGCGAATCGTCGAATTCCTGTGTGTGTGAGGCACCACCAGGCACCGCCTGGTGGCGCAGTGATGGAGATACTGACCGATTGATTTGTAGTGTTTAGGCAAGAGCCGGAGAATGAATTTCATTGACTTGAAAACGAGGGATATGAGTGAGGCTCCAACTTTTATAGAGTTGGTGGGGGGATTGGAGATGTTGCCTTGGGGAGTGCTTCAAAGACAATGAAGGCCCGGCGGCACAGTTGGAAATGTCGGGTGGCGTCTCTATACCACGTTTGGCGTCCAGAAGTGAGAGATTTGAAAGGCGTACATATGAGATTTTAAATTCACTAATTCCCGAAGGATGTTAGTCATTGGTCAAGTTTTCATTGAAGCAGAACAACGTTTTTGAAAGGGGTGGAGAAGGGGGCAGGTCACGTGCATATTTCTACTCTCCGCCACCTGCATTCTTAAAGGCCCAGGCAGTTCATCAGGTTGATTGGGTGCTGTATAGAGCCAATAATAAAGGGTGGATTTTGTTTCATGATTCAAGTGTGATGTAAAATATTCAACTTATATGGGGGTTTGAAGCTGAATTTAGGATGTAGAACTGTATTACTGCACATGTGTAAGTATTTCGAAAACATATGAAATAGTACCTAGTTATAACGAGTTTTGTAACATGGTACAATTCGATAACATGGTACGGTAGTTGAACTAGGTTTGTATACCTACGCTCCTGTGAAACATCAGTGAATGACATGAAACAAGCACCAGAAGGTTTCAGTACGAGGGACCACTATAGGGTTAGCGAAATGCGGGGTAACTCTGTTGATGCGGGGAAAATGGCGCTCCATCACTCCACCCCTCCACCTCTTTGTTCATAAAGAACATTCCTCGGAGAAAACAATCCCTACAACACCCTCTAAACTCCACAATTTCACGATTCGTTCTTCATCGATCCACCGTGGTCAATCCACAGTAACCAATTGAGTAAAATGTCGAAGCAAAAAGCAACATATTACACCTACAACTCGGGTGTCGAATGCAAGCACCTTCACTTGGGTAATCTGGTTCACGACTTCAAACTTCCTACATCTCTGGAGCCATATGAGGAAAAGGCATATACGGAGTGAGTATGCGAAATCTAATCGGAATTGACAGTTAAAGAAGAGGATGCATTTGCAAGCAGTAATCTTACAGTACTTGCTGATGCACCGTGAAGCATTGCAGAACCCGCTCCCTTCTGGGCCCAATTAACCCCTCTCACCAACTATGCCTTAACCCTAGGCAAGAGCCTCGACACCGATCTCGACGACGCCTCGGATTCCGGCCACGAAGCCGGAGACCAATACCGCGTCGTCGCATCTGAGAAATCTACCCAGTTGGAGATCAAAGAGTACGCAACCGCACAAACATCCCTCGTCTCCCCTAATAACAAACAATAGACCCGAGAAATTCTTCCAAAACATCACCCTCAAATCCCCCACGGCGCAGAAATGGCTCGCGGCACATATCTCAGCCGCCGAATCACTGGCCGAGAAATCATCAGAGGGGAAGAAACCCGAGATTTGGATGCTAACGGGACTCATCCTCATGACGCACGCCACATGGACCAGTCTCTCCTCCAAAGACCACTCCTTCATCGCCGGCACCCAGGCACCCTTCGATCCAACCGGTATATCCGCCATCCGTCGTCTCTCAACCAGTGGCAGTGTCCGACCCGTCGTCGGCCTACCCACCCCCGACGACGAGATCAAGAAAAATATTTCCGGCACCGTGATCCATGAGACGGGAAAATACCCTGGCACGCGATGTTGGGCGGCGCAGTGGACGAAGATCGATGTGGAGATTGTGGCGGTCGAGCAGGCGGAAGGGGATGCGGATGAGGTGCGGTTGAAGGGGGATGAGAAAAGGATTGCGGTTGTGGATTGTGAGGCGGGGCGATACGCGTTGAATGGTGGGAAGGATGGTGGGAATGCCGATGAGTTTGGGGAGGAGTATTGGGATGAGTTTCTTGATGCTACGGAGGAGTAGATGGGTGTTGTGTCTGGTTGTATGTATGTTTCTTCTTCGACGGAGGGGAAGGGGAAAGTGGTGGGTTGCATGGCTATTAATGCTCTTTACCTAGCACGTAGGTTTTTAAACTATATCTTCTTGGTGTTAGGCTGTGGATAAGAGGTGATATAAGAGTAGATTCTTGAGACTCAATTGCTTTACATATATGTCGGTTTGGCGATTTTCGTTCCATGTACTCAAGTATAAGTCTTATTTCATTCAGAGACAGGTTCATAACTATTCCCATACTGTAGTATAAAAACTCGCACGTTGCCATGCTAAATCTCTGTCAGCAACTCAATTGCCCTCCCACAACTATGTCAATTCCAATAAGTTACCTGCACCACCCGTATAACTTGTCAAGTTGCGGAAGACTTTAATAAAAATGATATCCGTACGTGTGTAGGTGTCTAGAACACTACCAAATGTCCTACATTAAGGTTTGCTACCCAATACACTTACTATACTTGTACATAAATGGAGACTTTGTATCTCCGAACCCTGTACTCGGATTCTTGTTTGTTTTGGGTGGTTATGGGAAGGGATTGTGAGTGATGCTCATTTTGGATCTTTTGAGAGAATAATTCTGCTGTAGAATTGTTCAGATTGAGCATGTAATATGAGTTATAATGATATTATGAGAATGAGTAGCCGTTTACAAGACGACGGCTGAAATGGTCTTGGCGAAACTTCGGGTCGGAACTATGTTTATCCGTCGCCAGCTATTCTCATTCTGTGCTTGAAACATTCAACAACATCTAAGAATCCTCCTGGCGTAGTGGAATCCATTTGTGTGGCAGCATTCTGTCGACTTTACTGCATTCTTACCAGAACACCCTTGTGCGAGCAACCTTGATGTCCTCCCCCTCAAAGTAAAACTCTTGGAATCGTCGTCAGAAAGATTATCTCCGTCTATCCGTCCGTTCCGGCGGTCCAAAGACCAGCATTTTCCCTCCCCGCACAATGGGCATTACCAATACATTGGCATCTTCGTCCGATAAATCGTTACCTTGATCGAAACGGGAGGTTCGAAGGTCAACAGGTAAGTAATGGAAACACAGTTTATATCGAGTGCAATCCGCTGCGGTGGAAATTCGGAGTTTTTCCCTCTCTACCATGAGTGGTTTGCTCGAGTACAGTCTGAAATTGCTGGACTGGAGTCCGAAAGCTGCGATGCATACCCATAGTTCCCAGAAAGTATAATCTCCTCGACTCCATTAACGTGCATCATCTTTACAACGTGATTAATCAGACTTTAGGTTTCCATGAATGGGGTTACGAATCCCCAAATTTCCATAACTCCATTAACAGATATAAGAACCATCAACATGTCGAGAGTATTCCTCTGTTTCTTTGTCAATATACATTACTTGTGAAGTGGGAAGGGTATTGAACTTCATATTACCTCCATACCGACTCTCTCCTTACCTCACTCCAACTTTCAACCATGTCACATTACGACAGAGACACAACGGGCGACACCATCGTCTCCGACTTTCCATCTCAAGTCAAAGGCCGTACCTTTTTGATCACCGGTCCCAGTGATGGTGGTATAGGTGCTGAAGCAGCCAAATCTCTTGCACGCGGCTCTCCAAAATCTCTGATCCTGGTCGGTCGCTCACTCGAAAAGATCCAACCCACGATCGATGCAATCCAAAAGGCCGACGCCTCTATAACGGTCAAATTTGTTAATGTCGAACTGGGCTCTCTTTCCAGCGTAAGGGAAGCCGCGAAAACTATCCTCGAGGATTCTAGTATTCCAAAAATCGATGTTATCATCAACAATGCCGCAATTATGGTTTGTCCGTATGGATTAAGCACGGATGGATATGAACTTCAATTCGCGACCAACTATCTCTCGCATTTTCTTCTCACCAATCTTCTTCTTCCCAAGGTTCTGGCTGCTGGACCCGGGGCTAGGATCATTAATGTCTCGAGTACTGCTCACTTATTGGGACCCATCAATTTTCAATCTCTGGACTACAACAAGGGGAAAGATTACGAGCCATGGATAGCCTATGGCCAAGCTAAGACGGGGAATGTCTTGTTGAGTGTGGCTCTGGATAAGAGATTGAAAGGAAAGGGGGTCAAGAGCTTTGCGTTGTGTCCGGGGGGTATTGGTACGAATTTGACGAGATATATGTCGCCTGACATACTCAATGACGCATTGACAAAATACGCACACGGAATGCAAACCATAGGACCACCGAAGAGCTTGGAGGCGGGATGTTCTACTACGCTGAGAGCCGCGCTAGATCCTTCTTTAGTTGAGGTTGATGGTAGTCTCTTTTTGGCACATTGTCAGCTCCAGACAGATCCCTCGTATATTGCCCCGCATGCGCGTAGCGAGGAGAATGCGGAAAGACTGTGGTCACTTAGCGAGGAACTTGTGGGAGAAAAGTTTGCTTTGTAAGGTCAAGTGAGAATTTGAATAATTTGGTAGCGGGCTTGCTAGAAGGAATATATTGGAAAGCTTTTTATCAATTCGTTCCTTCCCCTTAAATATGCAGCTATTCGTCCGGGTTTGATATAGCTTAGGTCGTGGTTTCTTAGTACGACATGTCTGCTTATCAGTTTTCGATGAAGTAGGTCGGTCTTTCCTCCAAAGCTGCCAACAGTTTTATCAAGGACTTGGAGTTCTTCTCCTCTCAACCAGATATCAATTACTTCCATCCATTCCTAACCCACAATTCCATCACTACACTTGTTCAATCAAGATATTTCTGACATTCGTTGAGTCAACATCAAGTCCACCACCATTGCACGCACGTAATCTCTTTCGCTTCCAATAATCCAGTCACAACAAAAAAAGAACACAAAACTCCATCTACCCATCACATCACAACCCACCAAATCCCACCAAACCAACCAAAAGAAGCACTCACTCAACCACAAAAATGTGCAACCTCTCAATCTACAAATGCAAAAATCCCCCCTGCCGATGGAAAACCAACATCCACNACCAACCAAAAGAAGCACTCACTCAACCACAAAAATGTGCAACCTCTCAATCTACAAATGCAAAAATCCCCCCTGCCGATGGAAAACCAACATCCACACCACCCTCCTCACCTTCTGGTGCGGCAGCGATCTTTCCCCCCACCCCCACACATGGACCTCCTGCCACGACCCGAAACTCACCATTTCCGCCCCCGAAGGACTGCACTGTCCGTACTTCACGCCCAGCACCACGACCACGGATAAGGAAACCACATTTTGCAACAAATGCCGCGAGAAGTCGGTCCGCCAAGCCCACAAGAAGGTCGAGAAGCAACGTAGACTTGATCGTAAGGAGGCGGCGAGGATGGAAGAGAAGATTGTGGATACGAAACGTGGGATTGTGGAGATGGTTTGGAGGGAGGAGAGGGAGAGGAGGGGGAGGAGGATCAAGGAGAGGGAGGAGAGGGAGAAGATAAGGGCGGTTAGGGGGGTGAGGTGGAGGAGGGAGGAGGAGAGACGGGGGAGGGATCTCGAGGAGAGGAGGAGGAGGGAGCAGGAACGGAGAGATAGGGTGTTGGATGAGAAGAGGTGGGAGTTTGAGGAGGAGGAGGTTAAGAGGATTGAGGGGGGGAGGAGTTGGAGAGTGAGATTTGGATGGTTTGGGGAGGTGTGAGGGGTGTTGATTTTGTGGGGTGTGGTAGGAGGGGATGGGGGATTACCCTTTGGGTCAGCGATTGTTATGAGTAGTTTTCTAGGATGGCGGGTTAATTGATACCCTGTTTTTGGATGGTTCTTTTTGAAGTGAGGTTGTGAAGTTTACATTATATTGTATCGTACTTGTAGTGAAGCGAATAAGTGAGTATACAATCGTTCCCCTGTGAAAACTTTATTATTATTATTATTATTATTATTCCTTTTAACGTGCTGTGGAGTCTGAGACTATAGTAGCACGGCTGGGGGTTTTCCTCCAGCAGATAACTGAAACTGTACTAAATACATGTGTGAGAAGGGAGTTTTGGTGAATACAGTTATTGGGTTGTTGGAAGCAGCGAGGCTTCTGGTTATGACAAAAGAAAGACAAAAAAGAAAGTGTGTTTTAGTACGCCCCCTGCGTTTCACGCCCTATACCACGTTCATTCTCGTCCTCGTCCTCGTTCTCATCCTCAGCTGCTCGTTGTGTGTGCCATAGTCTAGTGGCGATTTTGGTGGTGCGAAGAAAGTCTAGTGTGGCCTCGACTCCTTTGGTGGTGTGAAGGAGGGATTTCATAGTAAACTCTCGAATGTGGTGTTTGAGGAGGTTACGCTTTAGTGCTTTCCTCGCGTCTCCAGTTTCTGGACAGCTAAGGAGTAGGTGAGTAGGCGTCTCTTGTCTTCCACATCTACAGCGGTTGTTGTTGGTATGGCCAAGCTTGTGTAAGTATGATTTGAAATATCCATGGCCTAGCTTAAGCTGGTAAAAAGCACTGGCTATCTCTCTCTTTGTTCCTTGAGGGACGCAAGGTTTCGACAGAATCTTCCATGGGAATTCCCTCCGATACGAGTGTTGATTGGTTGATGGTTCTGTAGAACGGGAGGGTGTAGCAAGCTTTTGGCGCCATTCTTTGCTTTGGATTTGCCTGATCTTGACTCCAAGCATAGCAAAACTTGTGAGTTGGGTGGATGGTTGGATTGTTGTGGCGGCTTTTGCAAGCTTGTCTGCTTTTTCGTTTCCTGGAATGTTGGTATGGCCTGGTACCCAGTGAAGTGTGGTGGTGGCTCCTTTGTTTACTGTCTTCTTAGCTGCCTTAATAGCTCTGATTTGACAGTCTTGCCCTGGGTGATCTGATGTAGTTTTTAGCCGCCATAAGCCTGCTTGGTTGTCTGAGTAAATGTGGAAGTGCAGTCCTGGTCTCGCGTGCTTGGCGGCATATTCGATTGCTAGCGTGGCTCCTTCAACTTCTCCGTTGTAGACGAGCTTGTTTGGGCCAATATTGACTTTCTTTTCATAGTGGATTGTGCTTGATTGAGGGGAAACTACAGACAGGCCTACGCCAATTCCTCGGCTATTTTCAGTTGTTGTAGAGGAAGCGTCCGTGTATATAAAAATACTGTTGTCTGGGTTGTTTTGGAGTAAGCGGAGGTGAAGGTTTGCTTCTTCTTCCTTTGACAGTTTGCTGATTTGTACTCGGTACAGGGTTTCTCTTTCCCATGGAGGAAAGTGGAAGTGACTTAGTTGCTCAAGGTCTTCAAGGTCGTAAAGGTTACTAATGGACCTGTGGATTCGCTGAAGTTGAGGAATAGCTGGCTTCTTTTTTTTGGGAGTTGTCTGGGTATTGAGAAGTTTGTTGGTAGCGTAGTTGATAGGGTGAGCTGGTGAGAGTTTGAGAAGTCGGAAAGCATACATTCTCAGGGAGGCGGAGAGGCGGACTTCGGGAGGCGGGAGAGCACTTTCTACTTCCATTGGGAGGATGGGAGCGGTTTTGAAGACGCCTAATATCTTCCTAATTGCAAGATTTTGGAGCTTTTGGAGTAGGGTAGTGAATTGTGCTTGGCCACGCCACCATATTGTAGACCCGTAGTGAAAACTTTCTTATGTGGGTTGCTCACGCTGTATATCAACGTGCAGCTTTTATGGTAGGGGTTTACTGGGAAGAATTTATACCAGGAAGTTGCAAGAGAGTCCTCACGGGATAATGCAAGTATTCGTAACCAAAGTCTCAAAGAACTTCAACGGTACTTCGTGAATTTATCCGCATAACTAAATAATATAAGAATTATTCTATCTGGCTAGCATATTTCAGTCAAACATTAGTTTTTTTGTGGGAGAAGGAGATTTGATTGTGAAGTTTGCTGTGGCTCTTATCCAGTTATGAAGTCTGTTACCGTTGTGATACTGTTGCAGTGTTCTGGTACTTGAGCGGGTAGAGCTAAGGCTTGTGAGAGACACATGAGAGGTGGTAGTAATAGAAATATTACATGGTACCATATAGTTAGTATTAGTTGAAAGAAATCCTTGGGGAGGGAAGGGCGAAATGCTGGAAACGCGCTTTTTGGCGCGGAGAATTAGCGTCATCAGCGTGAGTGGGAATGTAAAGGTGGGATGGCACTCACTTATTGTCGTTGGAGGTCACAGAAATAGAAAACGGAACAACACAGATATTGGCTCAAACATATTTGCACAAATCTAGAACTCAATCAAAGCGGTGGAATGAAAGTTTCTTTTTATCTATATACAGCCCAATCCCAAAATCAAAACCCCAACTCCAAACACGTCCGTTGATACAGGGGGCATCAGCTCTTCCTATAATCAGGGCAGTGGAGTTTGGGGCAACACCGCACATGAGGCTTCCCAGTACCAAAATGCCCCGGCCAAATTCTCCAATGATATGTCCCTGCTCCCCACCACCACTCCCCTCAGCTTGGCATTGAGAGGAAGAAGATGGTGGCTTGAAGAAAAGCAAGATTCTAGAGTCGAGGCTATCTTCGAAAAGTTGTCGAATAGGCACCAGCAACAGTCTATTGTGCACAAAGTTTCTGCTTGGCTGGTGTGGGAAGCGAGAAATTTGGTTGTGGATTTCTTTGCATACTCTCTCTCCAAAATACTCAGCGCACAGAGGGTAAGATGCTGGACCTTTACTTCTTCTTGGTGACTGCGGCCTTTTTGCCAGCTGCGACACCAGTGCCATTCATCTTCTTGGTTCCAGCAGCCTGGAGAAACATAGTGTTAGCAACATTACAATGTGAGCGGGACCTTCACATACCCCAATTACCCCGATTCCCGAACGAGAACGTCGCAGAAAGACGTTTTTACGGCATCCCAATTGTACACTTAGGTCGGAAACGAGCAAATCGCAAATCTCAACCCACTCCATCCGTCCGATCTGAAGCCAAAGTCAAAGACCAGACATCAAACGCGGAAAACGCCTCAGACGCCGGTCCATTGTATCTTCCCATGGACTGAAGGACATGAGCGAGGGTTATCGTAGCCCAACTGGGTAGCGACGCCGGTGGAATCAACAGACCCCCCCACCACCACATCTGACGTGGTAGTGGGTACGACCAACGAAGCTGGTCAGCTGACGACTTCTCATCGCCAGTGCCAACGACTTCGCCGGTTGTTGTATCATTCTCACAAGCTGGTGCTTGTCGATCGAGCGCTGAAGAGACTTCTGCAAAACGCGTTAGCGATGCATTTCTTTCTTGATATTCTTGGATGCAGGGATTCGGAGGTGCTTACCAGTCAGCGAACTACTCCGGGAGTCTTGTAAAGACCCCGACGGAGTGCTCTGAAGAGTCTTGGTGGAAGCAATTAAGATCAGTTGGAAGACTCATAGTCGGCGCGTCTGAGATGTTGACGCTGGTGAGTATCATATCAGTATGCGTTCAAAAGATCAGATTGATCAGTAAAAGGTAACTCACCGATCCCGGACTGATGCTTCGTAGAAACGAAGAGCATTGGAAGCAGTCGGAAGTCAATCTTTCTACCATAGCTTCCTCATTGACGGCAGGTCGACGCTGCCAACCCACGTCGTGGTGGATGGCATGATTACGTCTCTCCGCCATTAAGCGGCTCGTCGAGCTTGGCTCAATTGTGTTTTCTGGCGTCGTTGGAGGACAGAATTGACGGTGCAAGTGTCGAGGGAATTGCTTGGATTGAAAAGCAGAAGATGCGGAGAAGGATGTCCAACACAGCTTTGAGCAAGTTGGATTTGGAGAGCTGATCAAAATTTGTTGACAAGACGTGTTTAAGGTTTGTGGAGACGCTAATGAAGTGGCCAAAAGAGCAGATACACCGCTCGGAGTAGAGGAGCTAGCATTCTCGATAGAAGCCACAAGGCGGCGTCAAATCTTCGAAGGTAGTTAGGTGGACTCGGTGGCAATCCTCTGAGGAAGCAAGCGGAGCAGTCTCGACCAGGCCGCAGCCACCCGTATAGCAGCGGCGATCCACGGAGTCCTGCAATGGCGTTCACATGATTAGATGACAAAAAGAGCATGCAAACAATTGTGTGTTTATATCTTTGATAAAAATTACAGTTTTGTTGAAGGTTTTCACCAAATTGATCACCCATATAATTAGCCCAATTGTTTTGGATGTAGCCCCTGATGCATAAATTAGCCGACCTGCGACTGCTTGGGAAAACAGCAGCCATATCTAAGCGAATTCAGGTTGAGTTGTGAACAACCAGAAGACAAGATAAAAACGTTTAGTGCACATATGCATTTTTCTTGGTGGATGCTAGCTATTAGAGCTCATTAGGTGATTTATGGATACTGTCTTCTTATATACATACGCTGCTTCCAACAACCCAATAACTGTATTCACCAAAACTCCCTTCTCACACATGTATTTAGTACAGTTTCAGTTATCTGCTGGAGGGAAACCCCCAGCCGTGCTACTATAGTCTCAGACTCACACAGCACGTTAAAAGGAATAATAATAATAATAATAATAATAATAATAATAATAATAATAATAATAATAATAATAATAATAATAATAATAATAATAATTCTTATATACATTGTCTTTGTACAAAGCGAGACAGGGGTTGATTAGCTCTTAGCGTTTGGGTTAATTGGCTCTCAGCGTTCCCGGAATAGACCCAAAAAAAACTAGTTAGGTAATCCGTATTTTTAGTAGGTAAGAAAAGAACGGCCCGCATCGAGCCTAAATCGTATCTAAATTATTAGATGTCACGAATCACGTGCTCACGTGATACTTGTCATAATAAGAGGCGCAACCCTCGACAGGCACATCCAGGTTTCTTATAGCAAAATAGGGACGCTTAGGCTAGCTAAGCGATCCAGGGATTTCCTTTGGTTAGTATCACGTGACTCGCTTGGATCATGGAGGATCATTTGAGCCAGTATGAGCCGGATCAGATGGATCATGGTGATCCATATGATCCATAGAGAACGAAATTTCTATATAAGACTGGCACGTCTGCCATTAGATAGGAGCTTCGTGCTCAACTTAGTTATCAATCTTATCATATTAGTTTGACATCTTTGATACAAGTAACGAGTTCACTTCCAAGTGAACAACCCGATAGTCTTCTTCTTATCATAGCATACCAACCAGCGAACACCCAGCCAAGTTTAGTTAGCCAGTTTGAGTATTCGTTACATATAGTAGTATTCTAGTATTTTATAATAGTAGAGTTATTAAGTACTTTTAGCTTATTTATAGTATAAATAGCTTTATAAACAAAGTCTTAAAAGTATTATAAGTCTCTAATCTATATACGTATAATACTAATTAGTATTAATTAACTTTATTAGTTAACTTTATTATCAAATATAAGGTATAATATAGGAAGAGGCTAAACCTTAGTATTAGACTATTCCTATTGTTAATATACACCGAGTCAAAGGTGTGGAAGTCGTATCGCCATAATATAGGCAGGACTAGCCTAATCAGGTGGTCCGTGCCACCGAGTATATTCACTCAAATATTATAGCGACAATTACATTGAATATTAGGTCGATGGACAAAATGACATATAGTCGGGCTTAGGGCTTGGCTACCAAATACATGAGAATGTTTGAAGTAGACCATAAATGGTTCAATTGTAGTAGATCTAGCTTAGAAATGACGGGGGAATATAAATGTATGCTACATAACAGAAGCTTGTATCTCAAGAAGAAATGAAAGTCTTCCTGCGGCTACAAGTAGAATATTGGAGGTAGAAACGTTCGAGCAGGAAGAATGACGTTGCTGAATCGTGAACGACGAATCCAGTTGCGAATCAGCCAATTTTCCAGGTAGAATTTTGATTTGGCGATGCCGTAGGTTATCGGGCTTGCGTAGTGACTGGTGGTCTTTTGCGAGGTCAAAATGCAAACGGCATTCTGAGACGACGAACCACCTATAGCAAATTAGGATTGAGACTTATTGCCAACACAATAAGCTTTTGCAAAAGTTTCCCAAAGTTCTCGAGTGTCAACCCAGCGGGTTCTAGGAATTGAAGTGTGGGCGAAATAGGACTTAGTCAATCTGGTGAACGACTTTTCACTAAGTCGCGGTTTATAAGCATTGGCGTTGAGCCTGCCCTCCTGGTAGCATCGCAATTCTTCCCACGGGAGGCTGTAAACATGCCCAACTAAATGGTTGGGACCTCTTACTTTTGAATCCGGCCAGGCAGAACTAAAACGTTTATCCAAAAATAGGCTATTATATTCGTCGGATTGGTCCTCGCACTCGCTTTTTCGAATGTGCCAATAGTGTCGCTGCTCTCCCCATTGTGGATACCTGGTCATTATTGTAAACTCAACATTTGCATCTTCCGGACCTGACCTCAAGACTCTGAGTACTAGAATAGGATGGAAGAAGGCCCTTTCCTCTAAGTTATGGATGGCTGTGCCTTCCAGTCCGTGTCTGACGAAGTCTATATCATTTTTGTGGGGCAGCCTTAAGATGGATCCTTCAGTGATGTCCCATGGCGCGGGTCGCCATCTGTGGTCTAATTCTTCCGGGGCTGCGTCAAGCCTCGTTGTGAAAGATTGGAAAATACCCGAAAAGTGCTTATGGGTTTCCCAAGCTCGTTTGATAGACATACTGAAAGCTGCTCTAGCCTTGAAATTATTAAGAAGAAAGAGAGTTGACGATGGAAACTAGAAATCCAAAATTGGTGCTTGTTGAATTAAACCAGGGAGATAAGGAAAGAAATATAGACAATTGGACTGGAAAATTTCGCTGGCTGTTGTGAAACTAGCAAGGTTGATACGTGGATTGGAAAATGTATGACGGTAATGAGTTTGAGGATGAAAATATGGTTGGCGTCTTCTGAACTTTTGAATTATCTATAAATCGTTGTTATGAATCAATATCTTTTCTTGAATTATTCTGATCAAAGAGCACAGAGCGGGGGGTTCTTTTACAAATAGATTTCTTAGCGTGCCATAGGACAACCTCTGGGTCGTGCTGCAAAGCAAGAACAATGAATGCAAAGGATCTGGTGGTATATGTTCTGAGACTCGCTTTAGCTCTAAGCTTCGAGTCTCCTGCCTTTACAAAGCTTTGTTGTATGGTTTTGGAATTGATACCAATGTTCCCAAGACATCTACCCCTTAAATATCTTTGAACCATTATTGTTCCAAAGGTATGTGTCACCTCTGAAAGACCTGACCTGGTTTCACTGGACTTGATAATCACCAATTTACTAATGTGGGAAGTTTCCGAACACAAAATCAAAGTGTTTACAAACAGTGGTATATACCAGAGTTCACATAGACTTTACAATCAAAGAAGCAAAAGCACATGGTTAACCAAAGAACCCGAAATACAAGAATCGCAGTTGAAGAAGTAATAGAAGAACTTAGTATTCTAAGCTGGTTCCTGCCAGTAATGAAAGGGGACGGACTTCTGGCTTGTTGGCAATTGCATGGTGAGGGAAAAATAAGAGGGCAACAAGGTATTACTTTATTCAAGGAACCGTATCCCAATTCTCAGGGATTTCCCTCCGCAACCTCGAAGATATCCTTCTCTAGATTTAACTCGACCCAGCTTCCCATCTCTAAACCAACACGCCCTCTCACTGCCCCTCCAACCATGTATCCCCTTCCCAACGCCGACAATTCCATCTTCACATCAGTAACCTCTTTCCCCTTGAACCTGATATGAAAGTCTTTCCCAATCTCACCAGGCTTCAGCGATTCCTCATTCAACTGCCCTGGTAAAGCAGCAGGCGCCTTCACTTTTGAGATTTCCAACTCCTTCAGCCACGGAGCCAACAGCGCTTCGCCAGTCATCTTAACATACGTCTCCCTCAGACACCACATCGCGTAAAATCTCCTGAACTTAACTTCAATAACCCTCTTACATTCAAGAGCTTCCTCTTTTTCTCTATCCCCATCCCTAATTTTGACTTTCACGCTCCCAGTCCTCTTTTCGCATTGCTCAATCTTGTCACCACCCGCAACAATGGTCCCAGGAATTCCGAACTCATTCAGAGGAATCGGACCCCTCTGCATGAACCTCACCTCACTCGCCGCAAAAACCTCAGCATGCATATCGACCCAGGCAAAAAACCCATCCTGATCAACCATCTCCCCATCCCTCGTTCCCCTCTCAGAAACACAAACGACATCCGTGCCCACCTCGACTTTCTCTTCATACCCGATTGCAGCAATCAGACTTACAATTCCGGCCTGGTGAGAGACATTAAACTCAATACTTGCCGGAGCAGGAGACTTTGATTTATCAGGGACATAAATAGGTTTTCCCAGTTCACTTTTTTGCAGTTTGATTGACTTCCAAGGAATACCAGAGAACTTCGCTACAACGAGGTTCTTGAGGAGGATGGATGCAAGTGCCATTTTTGCATCGCGGCGATGGTAGTATTTCAATACCGACGTTTTCTGCTCTTCAGTTATGAGGCTGAATGCTCTTGATGCCTGGCAGTCAGATGTTGATTAGCACCCATCCACATCATTCATCAAAAGTCATAGAATCAACGAAACAAAATCATATTCATTTTATGATATTGTCGAGAAGTACCAACATACAACATTCGGAAGTTCCTGCACTTGATCTCTCGATTTCTCCATTTGCGGAATCGGCCATAAAGGCCGGGTATCGAGGATCCATTGGATGATTTTCGGGTCGGGAGTCGGCGATGTGCTTGGAGACATTGTGTGAGATGAGGCGGCTTTGGAGGGATCAGAATGTGGCTGGTGTGCTTCAATGCAACATTGACGCGTCTTGAAGGTCTGAGATAGCCTGGGATGTGGGTGTTATGATTGTGGATGTGTTTGGTTGGTCTCTTCAGGTCGAGATTCGTGGTGAGTGGGTCAACCCGATCGGGACATTTGTGAATATTTGGGTCACGTGGTAGCTTAGGAGCTTCGCCAAGTGAAGGTGAGTTATGAATTGATGGATGTGTAGATAATTTATTGGTTTTTATACATTCATGAACAAGAAAGCTTTTTGCTAATATATTTAGGGTTTTGATTTAAACTCATATGACTCCTTCGTATATTGTGCAAGACAAGATATTATGAACGAACTATCCCTCATGAATACCACACCAAACTCATGGAGCAAAACAGAAAACTTCGAGAAGAACCCGAAACTCCCAACGGTCCGATCCATTCCTATATATACCTCCCCACACCCATCCCCATCCCCACTTTCCCCCAAATCCATGCTACACAAAAAATCCCAAACCCAAGTCTCGCCCCTCGCAAGAACGTGTCAAAAATCGCGAAAGAAACACCTGCAAATAAGCGGCTCCCACTAATCTCAACCAGGAAACAACACTCAATATTCCCAGTCACGGCCCCACAGCCAAAATTCCCGCGCCATCCATCGACTCTTTCTTTCCCATGGTTATGTGACTTATGTCTCTTATGTCCGCGAATCACCAGAACCATACAATTGATTTTCTCGAGATGAAAGAAGATGGCCGACTATTGTTAGACTCTCGAGGAGGTGAGGGGAAATTACTGGAAGTACTTCTACTTGGAGTTCGAGGGCATACTTCGTACGCTTTGTGCTGGTTGTCTGATCACTAAGACATGCGGCAGATACCTCCGTAAAACTTTTCACTCTGTGAGACACGGTACTTTAACAGCTACCGAGGCATATCGGGATATAAAATGTGCTACGGAAATTTTATCCTGTCCTACACAAATGTTTGTCTCACTCCACAAAAAAGGTCTGCCATAGTGAACCCCTACAGTACGAATATAAGCTTCTACCGGAATCAACCTACAAAACAACCGAGAGACACCCTGAAGCAAAGATGTCCCGGAGTGTTTTCTGGATTAGGTCGGTGGCCGACTACTTTTACAACCATCTACTTCGTAAAGTGTATACAAAATTACAAATGCTTGTTTGCAAAAGCGGAAAGTACTTCTACTTCTAGAACGTTGTGAACCCCTGCCTATTACTAGTACAATACTCTCAGATGAATAATGTACTTATTGTACCTATAACGAGCCGGCTATTTTATCAAGGCACACGGCATCTACTTCGTACTAGAAGTAAGCTTCTCGGAGAGATATTTCTAATAGAACAAAACCTTTTGAGCTTCCACTGCCGTAGATTGTCCCGCTCATGTAAAAATGTTTGCTTTCAGACACTACAACTTGTAATGATACGGAGGGTTTTTTTGGGGGGGAGGTTTTTTTGAATCCATAAATGATACGGAGGTATACTCTATAGAAATTTATCCCAAAGAGATAATAAAGTAAAGTAGGCGTCCGTCCCCCAGTCTACCAAATATCGAAGTACAACATCTCCTTCATAATCTCCCGCCTCCCCAACCACAGAGACCTTTTCCCAAGAACCAATACTCACAGCACCCCCGTAAAACGCTCCGCCACCTTCTGGTCCGGCAAAGCAAACCCGTAATGACCGGGCCCCGGCACCCGTAAAAACACAGCCAGCCCCCCGAGACAACCGAGAACCTTATTCTACTCTGCACCACACCCTGTCAAGTGCCACGCACCGCAGCGAAAAGCTTGAGATGCTTGGAGTGGAGCCCGACAAGACGGGTCAAGGCACGGATAAACAGATAAGAGTGGAAGCCCTTCTGTGAAATGTTACGGAAGACATGGTTCCCTCTTTGAGCCGGCGCTGATCCGTGTGCCGGCATCTTTGCTCCTAGACTTGGCGGGAGATATCTCCGTGATGTGAAGTACGAAGTATTTTGAAGATGAATCATGAAGCGAAACGAAGAGGGGAGGGGAGAGGGTTATTTTTGGTGTGCTTTAGATTCTGATTCGAATTCTGAGGAGAGAGAAACTTGTTTGAGGTTTTGAGAGGGAGGTATTGCCCACGTTTGTTGATACTATTCATGCATATGGTAGGTACTGCGGTTTGTTTTATTACGGAGAATACGGTATTTTGTATGTTACGATAGGTCAAGTGATCTGCAGTTTTGGCAAACGTGAAGAGGTAGACGTCACGAGTGATCTTGGCTTGGTATAGGAATGCAGTACATAACCTTTTGTGTGATTCAGAGAAGTACCGACAGCTGATCTGCCTTGTTTATGTTCAAGGAATTAGTGTAATTATAATTATGAGGAGATAAAGCGAAACCAACGTGAGGTTGTTTCTGGGGTCTGGAAACAAGTTTGAATACGGAATGAGTGGACGGACATGGAAGCACAAGTATTTACAACACTTTACACTTCCTTCAGTACTACCACCTGGTGGTACTTACTCAATCCACAATTCACAAATCACAACTCCCATCCTTGCAAGTAACTTTACAACTGTCAACTGTACAACGAATTCCATCCCCACGATCCTCCCACACCCCTACCCTACCTACCTCTCACCTCCTCCCCTAGGCCCTAGCAAGCAAGAAAACAAAGAAAAAACCAAGACCCAACAACCAAACCTTCACAAGTCCAAGTCCACATCCAAGTCCACGTCCCCCTCGTCAAAAAAACCCCCTCAAGAGAACCCCAGGCAACCCCTACAGCCGCCCAAAGTGGACGTTAGAACCCCCCCCCGGGCCCCCGGGGGACGCAAATTACGCAACCGGGAAAATAAATCCTCCAATGCAATCCAATCTAATCCAATGCAACCCAACATTACATAAGGGCCTGTTTGGCTCAGGATTATTAGAGTTACGATTTTCACGCCGAGCCAAATAGGCCCTAACCTCCCCCTTAGCAAAGATGTCCACCCTAGCAAAGATGTCTGCCCTCAAAGTACAGTAGTACACACACTCACTTCCTTCCTACTTCATAACAAACAGGAATATAATCCCCCATCCCATGCCATCCCATCCCATGCCATCCCATCCCATACCCTCCCAATCACCTAATAAATTCGCAGAACGTACCTCTACCACCCTACTCTACCTCCACAAACAGAAAAAAATGGGATTAGAACTAGACTAGTCAGCGAAATATCGAAAATTTCAAGATACTCACCTCACCTCACCTCACCTCTCGTATCTCGTATTCGAGTTGGAGACTCAGACTTGGTATCACGCCACGTTTTCCTTCTACTGTAGGGGTTCTTGAGACTTGTGTGTGTTAAACACATGTGAGTAGAGTATGGAAGGTATAAAAATAATGGGATGTGGATGGTGGGTGTATGTATAGTATAGTGAGTATGGTTGTGAGATGGGATAGGATGGAGTGGCGGTGTCGTTGTATTGTTGTGTAGTGTAGTGTATTGTAGTGTATGGCTAAGTTATGTTACGTAATCTTATACATTCATGAAGCCTCAATCATCATATTTCCAATTCTGGATTGTAGGTTCGAAGCATTTCACCTTCTAATGGATAAACTCAAAATGAAATACCCCATTCGAATCCCAAAAAGGGTTACTGTGACTTGAAATTGTAGAATTGTACAGTACTGTATATACATGAGCAAAATACACAACATCTCCAAATCCTCACCTCACATTAGAAACCCCCACGATTAAGTATTAAAAATATTACTACTTTTATTAAATATATCATAGTTATATACATAAGAAACCCCCCCTCTCTCAATACATTAAAAGATACCATCCAAGTAACGGTACACAGTACACACGCTACAAAGGTACACCCACCTCCCATCCATCCCCCTTCCATCCATCCTTCCTCTTTCCACCTAATAAAAGAAAGAAAGAAATCCAGAGTTGCCAACCAAAAACAACCTGAGGGTATCCAGCTGAAATGCTATACAAGAAAAGTGAAAAAGAAATAAAGAAAAGGGAGATCGTGTAATACCACCCCCCCTCCCCACCAAAACTCCATATGTGTCCGCCAACCCAATGCTGTTGCTTTCGCTTTTTAATTCGCCGTTGCTTTGCTTTTGGTACCCCATCTCATCCCATCTCATCCCTCTCCTCTCTTTCCTTTCTTTCGATAAAGAAATTTTCGCCTGCTCCCGAGCCAAACAAAAAAAGAACGATGCAACGAAAAAAAGCAAAGAGAGAAGATCACGACATCTCCTTCGTCACAGCCTTCACACCAGGACTCTTCTCCCCCACCGTCTCAATCCTCACATCCACCGTCCTCGTCACCCCAATCCCCCCGGACTCCAAACTGCCGCTCCCCACCGTCCCGCCACTCTCCAGAATCCTCTCCTCCATCTCCAGATCCTGCTCCGGGGTTCCTTTCCCAGTAAACTTATCCATCAAACTGGCTCGTCGTCCCAGCGCCGGCGAGGTCTTGCCACTACTCCCATTCCCGACGTTGAGGGCACCAGCACCGGTCCCAGGACCGCCTTTCGCGCGGGAGACGGACGTGCTCATCTCGCCGCCGCCGAGGTGCGAGAACTCGTTGCGGTAGTTGGCGCCGCGTGAGCGGCCGTAGGCTGCGCGGAGGGGGGAGGATTCGAAGCCTCGGAAGCGGAGGGCGCGGAGGAGGGGCTTGATGGTTACGAGGGAGGAGGCGACGATGGCGATTCCGGGCTCGACGAGGGTCCAGATCATGGCTTGGGTTGTATTGACTGTTTTGAGAGGATTAGTAGAGAAGGGTTGAGATGGGGGAGGGGAACGTACAGAGAGGATCGGTGATATCTGAAAGGTGGAAGAGGAAGGCGAGGCGGAAGACGGCTGCTACACTTGCTCTGAGGAGGATTAGTCGGTGTTTAAAGATTTGTGAGAAGTTCGGGGAGGACTCACAAGACACCCAATGCCATGATAAAACACAGGGTCAGTTTGACCCTCATATTCATCTGCAGTCCCAAAATGATAGGGATCGGCAGTAGGGCGTAGAACCAATCACTAATGATACTCATGCCTCCGAGCGAGTAGGCGGCAATCACGAAATTCATGGCCGGTTGACATCTAGGATTGGGAATTGTGCGGTCCCATTGAGCGGCGATGGGGGTGCAGATGAAGACGTAGTAGAAAAACGTGACGATCGACCAGATGGTGATGATCACCATGCTAACCTTGAGGGCCCAGACATATGGTTTGCGTGTGGCAATGCGGAGGAGGAAAAAGGCGATACTGAGTTTGATGAAGACCATGTCGATGATATATACCAATGTAGCGAGTGTTTTCCACTGAATCGTATTAGTTGAATGTATCTTCCATGGTAAGATGGATGCTTGTCATTACTTTTCCCGCCAGAATTTGATTCTCTATTGATAGTTCGTAGTTGTGTTTTCCCAGCCCAAAGTGCACACTGCGGATGACAAAAATACACAACAGAGTATAAATTGCCTAGAAAGGAATGTTAGTCCAACCCATATCATCCCACCAACAACACCAATCGCAAAAACGCACCTGAGAAATCGCCATGAGCCAGTCATCGATCTCAAATGATTTGGTGAGTCTCAGTCGAACAAACATCCGCAGAGATAGAGCAAACCATGACTGCGTTAACAGAACCGCCGCCGTGATGATTATCTGTTGTTGATTGGCAATTTTCCCACCCCAAGGATCCAGAGCCTCGTTACTCGAATGGGTTGCATTTTGCGCCATACTGCACTCTGACGTCGGCAAAGTGATTTAAGGAAAAAGAGAGTGAGGGAGTGGAAGCTTGAATACGACGTATCGAAGAGGGAGTTGGCAAATACATAAGATATATCAATTCGAACAAGCACATTGGCTTCAGCCTTGTAGATGGCTTTTCACCGAGGTCCCCACTGCATATTTCACCCCCTTATTGCCTAAACAACCAGCCTACCTTGCTCGTGGCATCGGTAGGAAATGACAGGAAAGCAATGCGTACCTCTGTACCCAAAGAAGCACTTCAAACGGTGGTTGACTATCCTAGTCCTCGTCAGGATAAGGCGGGCCCGGGAGATGGCCTCTACCAAACCTTAGCAAACTCTAATGGATCAAACCCGGGGGTTTGTGTTCCAGACAAAACACAAATGTTGAACAAGAAATATGGGTATCCAAGCGTTCTTCCCTTACCCGCCGTTTGAATATTAAACCTTAAAAAATGATCTCTCGCTTGATGGACCAATCAGCGTGGAATATGCGAGGAGAAGCAGCATGGGAATACGGTACTGCACCAGGGACGAGTAAGGGACATGTCGCTTTGTGTAAATGGTCAATACGCTAGTAGAATCTACTTGGAGTGCACAAGTCTGGATTTGTTTATATTAAAATATAATATAAGCACCTCCAAGACTATGCTGCCGTCTTGAAAGCTTAAGCGAGCGGACCAAGTGGACACGCGGCCTAGAATGTTGGACTTAAGACACGGAGATCGTGTGGTAAAGTAGATGGTAAGCTGGATCGGTCACTTCAAAGATTGCATATTCGGAATTGCTGCACGCATGGGTACTAGCACCGGTGGCATATTTCGAATCGCCGGGAGTTTTCCTATCGTCGGGTCTTCTTCAGATTGTCGGGAATCGTGCCAGTTTTAGACCAGGCTGTCCGCTGTTTAGCACAGACCAGATCGCGTGATTTCGACCAAATTACCAATAAGTACTTCTACTTCTAGAAGTAGAAGTACTTCGTAGCCAGCTCGCGATCGAGCTGGGACTTGAGTTGGTTGCTGGTATCTCCCGTGATTGAGACATGGTGTGCTGGTGAACAATGAGCCAGTATGAATTACTCCGTATTACCGCAAGAGGACCTGGACTCCAAACAATACTTTGTGAGTACTCCGTGCTTGGATACCATGAGTATCCCCATAACCTCGAGCTTCGAGCTTTGAGCTTTGTGGCTTGGCTATACTTACTCGCAGGACCGCGGTGTCAGCAGACCTCTGAGGATTTTAATGGAGGGACGAACCTGGAGTGTCGTTGCACACTGTGGACAGTTCACACGATGTCCGGACCATGGGATGACATCCTTATGCAATGGCTCCAGGGCATTGATATGCCAACTTGGAAATACTAGTACTGTACAGTACCGTACTGCAGTACTTATTGTACTGGTAGGAGTGGACCTGTCAAACATACCTAAGTAGTCTTGGAAAATATATATGTATGAAAAATTAGCAGTTTGCAGTCGTAGGTAGCGTAGTGGACAAAAACCGACTCTTTCCCTACAATTATCATCTGTAGGAAGTAGACTCCCTTGCCTTGTTTCCGGAGCTGGTGTATTGTATGTCAGATGAAGCGCGGGGGAGTGTTTTACCTAGACCCTCGACCTTCTATGGTAAAACTCGCTCTCCGGTGGAATCTTCCAATCAGAAGACTGTATTGGTACCTAGGAAATCAACCTTTTATACTGTATCTCCAAGCTGGGATTCCAAAATTAGTCCATTTAAACCTTTACCAGAAACTGCGCGAGGGGTTCTGTACCTGAGTGTGGCAACTAGGTACCAAGTAACGTACTTTAAAGAGACGCTAGGGACTGCGGGGTCACAGGTTGATATGTTTCAATGCCATATCGTTGCGAAGATCTCTGTATCAAGACGGATCATCCCAGTTGGTTTGGTAGACGGAGAAATATAGAAATATAGACGGAGACGGAAATTGTACAAAGTATGCCGTATGCCGTATACTTCCAAGCAGAGCTGAAATACCTACCTACCGTGGTCATCCAAGGCCATGCTGGTGGCGAGACGAGGAGGAAAACAAGATGGCAACGACTTTGCAAAGTGCTGTACTCAATCCTTCGCAAGGCACCGTGCGATCGGCTCCCTCCCATGAGCAATGCTCCGGGAGTAATTGGGGACCTGGTCCTAGGACATAGACGTGGTGGACGGAGACTAGGAATAACTAAGCTTGCGTTGGATAGCTTGATGAGTCGCTAGCAGGGGGCTATAGGAATCGCTAAGCTGGTGGTGGATATAAGCTGAGCCGTTAGCTAGAGGCTAGCTTGAAACTTGCACTCGTAGCACTGTGGCTGTAGTTGCCTGAAAAGGTTAATTGATGATATCATGCCTATACTCGAGTATAGTACTTGTACTGGATAGAGGGACTGCTAAAGCGGTGTACTCAAGTATAGGATAGGGTTACATAAGCTCACTAGCCACATCTGCAGCTGTGTCTGCACCTGTACCTGCCCTGTGTCTGTACCTGGTCCCATCAAGGTGAAAGTCAGTTGGAGACCGATCCCTAGCAAGCTGGTGCAAGCCACAAAGCGAAGCTACCAGATTTCAGGCGAGTTTACTGCGACAGGCTGGTTGTTGGCAAGCTTACTTCTTTCTCTTTCTGCACAATCCAGTCACCTTCCTAAATGGTGTGATAACGTCGGGTGAGGTTCAAGGTGGCTGGATTTTGGCCGACTCGCCGACATCAGCCACCACCAAGCACAGCTCAAAAAAAGCTCGACCGACCAAATCGCGTCAACACCAACATTGCATTCCTTGGTCATTCCACCACTCCACCACTGAATAAACTCAACCATCGCACATAATTGTCCATTAGCTATTCAGAATGGCTCCAAGGAAAAGCGCTGCTTCAGCGAACGACACCAAGCCCACCAAAAACAATGCGACCACCAAATCTAAAGCTGAGCCCAAGGCTGCTGATAAACCATCCACCAAGATTGCGAAAGATGAATCGGCACAGGCAAAAAAAGGCGCAAATGTTATGAAACCCGCGCGCGGAAGGAAACCCAACGAGGTCGAGGAAGCACCAGTCAAAGGTACGTGGCCTTCAATTCCACTCTTGTGATGGTGTCCAGTTCTGCGCGACGCGATGCTAATCCATGAATCCTGCAGCTCCAGTCGCAAACACCACCAAGCCAGGACGTGGTAGAAAACCCAAATCGGTCGAGAGTGTCCCAGAAACAGGTACGCACTCCCTACATTTGCATTTTTGTTGTTCCCGAGTTTCGAGGGACGCGACGCTAACCTTGGAGTCCTTGCAGCTCCTGCGACTGCTCCTGCAAAACCCGGATGTGGTAGAAAGGCGAAGTCAGCCGACGAGGATGTAGCAGAAGGTACGTACCATCTAGCACCAATCTTTTGGGATTCCCAACTTTCGACAGACGCGATGCTAATCCTCGAATCCTGCAGTTCCCGCTGCTCCCACGACCACCGTGGCAGGTACGAAGCGCGCCGCTAGCAAAACATCACCCGCCGCCGAAGCCCCATCGAAGCGCCAGAAGAAGGCCGTTGTCAGTGTGAATGATGCGCCTACAGGAAAGCTTGATATCTATGTCTTTGGTGCCGGTGAACAAGGCGAATTAGGCCTCGGCTCAGGTGCCAGAGTGAAGGATGTCCAGAGACCTAGATTGAACAAGAACCTGGATTCAAAGAGCATTGGTGTGGCACAAATTGCTGTCGGAGGAATGCATTGTGTTGCTCTCACACATGATGGAAAGATTTTAACTTGGGGCGTAAACGACAACTACGCGTTAGGTCGCGATACCGCCTGGGAGGCTCCTACTCGCGATGCCGACGCGTCTGACTCGGAGGATGATGATGAAGAAAGTGGACTGAACCCACGAGAGACCACTCCAACGGCCATTCCATCCGAGTGCTTCCCCGATGATGTTGCTGGTTTCTCTCAGGTCGTTGCTACTAACAGTGCGAGCTTCGCCTTGACTTTGGACGGACGAGTGTTTGGTTGGGGAGCCTTTTCGGTAAGTACTCACTACATCACACACCCTACTCGGTTAACATGATTAGGGAAATGACGGCACTTGGGGATTCTTCAAGGAGGATGCAGCTAAAGGTATCAAATTCCAAAAGGTCCCAGCTCTGATTCCCCAACTATCCAACATAAAGGCGCTCGCCTCTGGCGGCGACCATGTTTTGGCTTTGGATCATAAGGGTTATGTCTTTGCTTGGGGGTGTGGAGAGCAATCTCAACTAGCACATCGAGTCGCAGAGCGCCGCCGATTCGATTACCTCGTCCCAAATCCTGTCGCCCTACCAAAGGGTAAGATCCAAGCCATCTCTGCGGGAGGTTACCACGGCTTTGCCGTTGATGATAAAGGACAAGTTTGGTCGTGGGGCCTGAATAACTTTGGTCAAACCGGGATTTCCAATGGCGCGGGGGATGATAACGCAGTCATTCAACGACCATTTATTGTCAAGGCTCTCTCAGATTACAAAATCAAGTCAATTGTTGGAGGACTGCAGCACTCGATTGCTTGTACCAAGGATGGAGCTGTCCTTGTATGGGGACGATGTGACGATGGTCAGATGGGTGTTGACTTGACAGACGTACCAAAGGAGAATTTGTTGTTGGATAGTCGAGAAAAGCCAAAGATTAACAAGGAGCCTGTTCAAGTCCCAGGTAAGAGTTATAGTAAATACTCATGATACATTCAGCTAACTTCATCTTACAGATCTAAAGGCTGACTTTGTCGCCGCCGGTATTGACGATTGTATTGCCATCACCACAGACGGAAAGGCGTTCTCTTGGGGTTTCTCCGATGGTTACCGTACTGGTCATGGTACCGATGAGCCAATTCATAAAGCAACCATGATCGACAACACCGCCATTAGAGAGAAGAAGCTGACCTGGGCTGGTTGTGGTGGACAGTTTAGTGTTCTTGCTGGCCCAACTGTTCAGCTTTGATTGTGCAAAGGTCGCGGGGAGACAGGAAGACTATTTGCAGTGGATCATTCTGATCTTTGAATACCTCTTCACTTTGATGAGATACGTGGATAATTAATGGATAGATTGCGATTGTAACAACAGGAACACAGATTCAGGGGCATATTTTACCTTTTCTGTTTGGCGCACATAGGCGTTTATCGGAGGGAGCATCACTTCTGTTTATTGTAGATAATCTTATTTCGAACTGGGGGAAAAGCAAGCAATTTGATACTTGAGGACTTTCTCGAGACTTGAAGTATTTTCCTTGTTCATTTTTGTTGCGATGGTGATTCATCAGCCCTTCTTGCAAATCTTACAGTATTTATCTTACATTTGGACTACCATTCCATTGTATATGGTAAATAGCGTCTTGTACTCGCTACCCATTCAGCCGAAAGGGGACCATCCCACATCCACCCATCCACCATTCCTTCCCACAACTTCTATCATCAGTCTTCAGTCTTCTGACAAGGAATCGCCTGCGAGGCTGCCAAGAAATATCCAGTATGGGGTTGAATGCACCAATCAACGGCATGGATCCGTCGGCTTTTGGGAATGAGGGGAGGCATGGGTCAGGGTGGGGGATAAACGGAAGAATTGAGGGGTTAAGGTTGGGTTTGCGCGGGGTAGCTTTTTGGATGGGGAGGAAATGGAGATGGGGATGGGGATGGGTTTTATATAGCTGTAGGGTGGTTGTACATCTTTGGTTTGAAATTTACCCCAAGATCTTTTTTTGAGGACGTGAGTTGATTCTTTTTTTCTGGATTTGGTTTTGAGAAATTGGATTTTTTGGTGAGTTGTTTTTGGTTTTCTTTGATTGTGGTAGGTGTGTTTGTGTGTGTGTGTTTGGGAAGAGGGAAGAGGAGGAGGAGGAGGGAGTGAGGTAGGCAAGTACCGAGATTCCTGGGGGGGTCTTGGATTTGGTTCTAGGATTTGGATTGGAGTTTTCGTTCTGTTTATTCAATTCACAAAAGCAAAACTACAACTAACAAACCTACCAACCCATAGAACCAAAACACATACCTTACCTCACAAACACATACACGCGATACTTTCAAACTTACTACCAAAGGTTACCTACTTGGACTTGAAGATCCTCCAGAAAAACAGAGTAAAGGAAAATGGCCAACACCACGACGTTCAAACTGAATACCGGTGCGGAGATCCCGGCGTTGGGTCTGGGAACCTGGCAGTCGGAGGCGGGGGAGGTGGAGAAGGCTGTGAAGTATGCGTTGGAGGTGGGGTATAGGCATGTTGATGGGGGTATGTTTGTTTCTTTTTGTTTTTGTTGTTGAGCGGTTTCTTGGGGAAGGGGGGGCTTTGAGAGAGTTCTTGCTCGTTGAGACTGGGGGTTTTTGGTGTTTTCGATTTCGTGGGATATGGATTGGATGCAAGCGAAGACTCAGATCCGGATTTGAATATCAATATAGAGAGCGGGAAAGGAAGAGAGAGAGAGACCGAAAGAAAGACCACCAAGCTAACCAAAAGACAACCACAGCATACTGCTACGCCAACGAAGAAGAAGTAGGCAAAGGCCTCGCCGCCGCCTTCGCTTCGGGAATCAAACGCGAAGACATCTTCGTCACCTCCAAACTCTGGTGTACCTACCACTCGCGGCCCCTCGAAGGTCTCAACAAATCCCTCGCCGCGCTAGGCCTCGACTACGTCGACCTCTTCCTCGTCCACTGGCCCATCGCCATGAACCCCGCGGGCAACGACGACCGCTTCCCCAAACATCCCGATGGCTCGCGCGACCTCGTCAAGGGGTGGAGTCACATCCAGACCTGGAAGGGGATGCAGGAGCTTGTTGGGACGGGGAAGGTGAAGGCTATTGGGGTGGCGAATTACTCGAAGGTGATTTTGGAGGAGTTGTTGGGTGATGTGGGGACGAAGGTTGTTCCTGCGGTTAATCAGATTGAGAATCATCCGTCGCTGCCGCAGAATGAGATTGTGAGTTTTTGTAAGGAGAAGGGGATTCATGTTACGGCGTATAGTCCGCTGGGCAGTAGTGGGTGTCCGATGTTGAAGGCGGCGCCGGTGGTAGAGGTTGCGAAGTCGAGGGGGACGAGTGAGGCGGCTGTTTTGTTGAGTTGGCATCGTGAGTTTTTCTTTTCTTTCTCCTATCTCCCTCCTTTACCTTCCTCCCCTCTTACCCTTTTAAAAAAAATCCATCCTAACCACCCCACAAACAGTCGCACGAGGCTCCTCGGTCCTCGCCAAATCCGTCACCCCCACACGCATAAAAGCCAACATCGACAGCCTCATCACCCTCTCGGCAGACGATATGAAGGTTCTTAACGAGTACGCCGAGGGACTGGAGAAGAAGGGGGAGGTGGTCAGGTATGTGTATCCGGCGTTTGGTGTTGCGTTTGGGTTCCCGGATAAGCCGGAGGGGATTAAGCCTTGGTTGTTGTAGATTTGTGACTGGATGGAGAAAAGGAGGAGGAGGGGAGAGGTGTGGATGTTTTTTTTTGTAGATAGAGAGGGAGAGAGAGAATTGGTTGTAAATGAAGTTGTTGGGGTTGATGTTTGTGAATTGTTGTTTTCTTCTTTCTTTTCCCCCCCCCCTTTAAGTGAATATATCGTAGGTATGTATTTTGTATCTGGGGGTTTACATACAGTCAGTACCTTCTTCCATTTACAGTTGCTTTTGAACAGTCTGCTTCTCGTGTTCGCAGATCCACCTTCCCTTTTTTTTAGTTTTCCACATACGGTGTAGGTATTAGGCAAGCACTCTATATTCTGACATCACATCCTATCTAGGATCTGGAATGACATAGGGAATAAAGGGGCTCTGGATATTTATTCATACCAGGCTTAGTGTAGATAAAGAAATAGATTAGTACCTACTACAAGAAAGGGGAGAACTGGATTCGGAAACCTCTTTCTAATAAGCACTGTAGATTATTCTATTTTCCTTCCTTTCTTCCTTTCTTCCTTTCCTTTCTATTCTTTTCAACCTACACGACCGTATCGCAAACGAGCCATTGACCCGCCTAGCTAGCTATTGTGTAATCTCACTACCTAACGGAGCTTTGCGTCACCCTAAGCTGATTCTTACGAGAAACTGATGAAGTTTTCAAGAGGGTGATATTCTTATAATCCTAGATGATAGATCTGAAATACACGAGACAGCAAATACTAGGGCGTGCGGAAGATTGGGAAATATTGTCGTCATTGTATACATACCCTAGGTTTAAAGAATAGAATAGAAGTATGGTAGAAACAGACAGATGATGGAGAGAAATGGGATGGGCAAGAGGTAGACTTATACGAGGATTAGTGATCTCAAACTGGTCTGGGGGATTCTCTTGGATATCTGCTGCGGTGTGTTAGGAAGAAAGGGTTCGTACTGTACTTGAATTGTAATTTGTAAGCTTGGGATTCTGTTAGTCGCCATTTTTAGCACTTCGAATTCTCACATGTGGGTGAAGTTGGAGAGATTGCGAGCGGTATCTTATAATAAGATAAGATGGTTTAATATAGAGTAACCAGATGTACGAAGAAGAGAACCTCGATTCTGTGCTTGGTATTATAGTAGATTCAGGGTCTGCCCTTTATTTGCTGCTTAATGGTGGCTCTAGAGGGAGGGAGATCCCACCTCGCTTATGGAATTATTTACAGATCTCCTTGGACCTTACTGTAACAATAAATATGCTGAAAATTAAAGTACAATTGACTTATGTTATACTTGCAGTGTATATAACCTTAATTCAATTTCTTCTGCAAATATGTTTGGGACTCTTATAGCAATATCTCTGGTAATAAATGTGCTGTACGCTATTTAGAACGTGAATCTTTTGAAACCTTGAAGATATACGCTAACCAGAGATGATCTAATCATCATTATTCTTGATAGTTCAAAACTCAGATGTCGAGGAATATGAGCGTGCGATAGATGGGTTTCGAAAACACGTATAATGACTCGGGGACTCATCTTGAAGTACTAGAATTAATGAAATATCCTTTTAAACCTCCCCCTTTGGTTGAGTTCAGGAATACACTTCTACTATAAATTGATGTTACGATATATTCTACTTGTTGTTATTTTTTTCTTCTTTTTATAGCTATTCCGATCTAGATTTTCTGGTGCGTTTATGGATTTAGGTTCTTCGGGTAGTATGAGAGTCATGCTCGGGTGGTATGGGTTACGGGTATGAGTATAACTAACTTATGGAGTTCTACTACACGGCATCCCTTGATTGAAGCTTGAAGTCGAAGATCATTTCCAAAGGTTTTAGCTTGTCAAGTGGGACTATCTACATGAGCGATTATCAAAGTTCCCATTTTTAGAATTGGCAATAAGCTTTTCGTTTGAGTTTATAAGTGAGATATAGTGAGACGATGCTTGACATCAATAACCACAGATTTATTCTAGAAATACATGGTTTATAAATCTGCTACATCAGACTACAGTATTTTGTGCCTCTCGCCTCTGAATACATTCCTCAATATGAAGTACCAGCCTCCACGAACATTACATTAAGTCCAATCAACGAATCTACCAACTATAAAACACAACGCCCATCCTAGCCAAATCATCTTTCGTCATATTTCCTCCAAGCCTTCTGTAATTTTCCGGTAACAATCTTTCCACAGTATCAATACAGTCCTCTCTCAAATGATCCCAAACAGAGAGGAAAACCTTACAACGCTCCCTATCCACCGTATCAAGATATCTCCATAAAGAATATCGAGCGTCTCGTTGCTAATCTGTTTGCATACCCTAAAAAGAGTGTTTTTACGCCCCCTAACGATATTTTGTGTGATCTGTTGCGCTTTTTGCTTTTCTTCTCTGGTGTGTGGGTAGTGCCGTATTTGTACCACTGGCGACTCGAGGAAATCGAATTTTCGCACCCGATTGGCGGTTTCTGAATCTATCAGACTCTCCCATTCTTTATTTCTGTGCAGCCATTCTTCTTGGCTTATCTCATCTCGTCGAAAACATATGGTGGGGCAGACGGCGCTCAAGTAGATCATGCGGTTGTTTGGGATGTAGTAGTGATAGATTTTGCGACGTATCTATAGGCAATTGGGAGTTAGAACTGCTACAAACAATGATTATTAGGAGAAGCTTGAGAAGTCTCTGAGAAAAAGCAAGATTGCCCGAGGAAGGAAACCGTATCTCGACCATCCTTGAAACAGTATGGATGGGAAGAAAATAACAGCTTGAATAACACGTACCTCAATAGGAAGCTCGAGAAAACGAGACTTAGGAGCCACAGGAGGTTTGGCTAGGGGAACAAGTAATGGAGCGAGTTGCCGAGAAATAGACGAGGCAATATGGCAAGTACCTCGCCACAAACACTGGGAGCCGTGCAATAACATGGACCTTCGCATTAACATGGAGGGGTGAACGTGGTTAGAGCTACGCCAAAGCCTCTGGAAGACGTGCGGCTTGGCGAGAATGAGCGCAAGGTCTTGACCATGATAGATGTATTCCCATGCCCCCAGGTAGCCGTGCCTCTCGGCTGTTTGATGGAATTCTCCGGGTGGTAGATCTGAAGATGCTAAGTCGTAGTTGAGATCTGCATCGGTGCATAGTAACCAAGCAAGTCTAGTCAGCCTCCAAGGACGACTTGGTAGATCGCTACAGAGACCGTTGGATGCTTTATAATGGGACTCGGAGTTTGACGCCATTGCAGAAGGTCGACGAAAAGGAGGGGCGGTGTAAAGAGATTCGTCTCTGTGGTGTGGTGTCAGGAAGGCTTCATTTCAATGGAAATTGTTTCAGGTTGAGTAGCGAGGAGAGTATTGAGGCGTTGTGTCTAACCGCGAGTTGCTTCTAAAGAATAGGAGAAGCATGTCGAGTCCCGGCGCGGATACTAATGATAACAAAGGAATTATCCATACCCATTAAAGTGTATCAAGCAGAAGAGTATAACAGACAAAGTATGACATTAGGGGGAACATGTCAAATATCTCTTATTCAGATGGCCGCCAAATATTCAATTATCTGGTTACTGTTTACGTGAAGCCTCTTTTTATCCTTGCACTTCTTCCAAAACTCCATCTTCACCCTCCCCATCAATCTGACCCGATCCACACAAATAATCGCCACTTGGCGATGTTCCAAAAATGGCGCCCGGCTCAATAAAGCCCAATTTCCACTTGAAGATACCATTTCCTGGAGTATCCCCTTCAAACTTTCGATAGCCCCTGGGTAAGCTCTTTTCGACAAAGTCTCCAACCCGTTTATCAGGACTTTGCTCTACGGTCAGCATGACCTCACAACCTTGCAAGTACTTGAAGCAAGAAGTAAGTTCAAAGCACCATACAGAGTCATGCCATTCCTGCTTTTCGCTCGTCCAGGTTTCAAGCCCTACGTACCAGTCTTGGGGTCGGTCACTCGTTTGTACTTCGAAATAAAAATTGGTCAAATCTTGAAAGACTGTGGCCCAGAGACTTTGGTTCAGGATCCAGTTTTGATAGGAGATTTTCTCGTCCGCGTGCGCAACTATTTTCAACTTCTTGATCCTCCTCGTCAAGGCCTTGGAAAGAGTCTCGAATGGGATGAATCTCTCGTAGTACATTAGATCAACTTCGAATATGTTCTCGCCATATAGAACGCCAAGTGCTTCCTCGCTGATTGTCTTTGACACACAGAAAATTCCGTTTTTGTTGGTTGCGTTGATTTTGGACCAGTGGAGGTTATCGGGATCGAGCGACTTTATCCACCCCCATCCCTCGTCCCACCACTCACGACGGCGAAACCCTAAAAAGGCTCCTTCGAAGCCGTCATCATATTTCTTGGGACAGGCACTTGGGAGGTCTATATGGACGATTTCATTGTTTGGAATGAAGTGACGGTATATTTTGAGTCGAACTTCAGGAGGTATGTCGTGGAACTGGACCGGTCTAGCTGCAGGGCCAGAGTGCTGTGGGGAAGAACTCATTGTTGAGTCAATTTGAAGTTCGAAGTCCGCCATATGGGATAGAACCAGAGCCGATGCGCATATGATGAGGGTATGAACTACTTTGAGTTTTGCAAGACTTGGGACCGTTAGCTGTTGTTTGCACCTGAGTATAAATTTGAGATAGGAACCGACCTGAATTAGACGTAGAAGTTGTATGTGGTGAATACTTTGGAAGCAATTTTGTCCAAGATCACACAAACTCTAAGTAGATGTAGTTCGGGGAATACGACTTGGAAGGGATCGAATGATGGGCGTTGATTGTGGACGAGGACGTTTTTCGGTGCAATCAGTTATCTAATTGAAAAGGAGATGAACTTTTGGCCATTAAAAGGGACGACTTTGAGATATCAGATGCCAAGAAGGCGTAGTGCTACGCTAGCAGTTTGACATAGTGAAAGGTACAATTGGCCAACTAGGCCAGAACATCAACACTTTCGGGTGAGGGAATGAGGGGGAACGTGAGTTTTGCAAAAGGCGAAAGGTTTTGCCATTAAAACATGCTCTCAGGATTCCACTCTCCGTTTTTCCGACTCCTCCAATTTATCTATGGTCCGCAAGCTAGGCATTGCGTGCCAGTAGTTTACCGTTATAGCCTGCAAATGATACATCAAAGCAGAACGTAAAAAGATAGAGCCACGGACTTATATCAAGACCTACTTGCAACTTTGGTAAAGGAAAAAAGACTCAAAAGCGAGAAGTAAGAACAATAAACAGCCAAAACCGAAACTGGCCCCCCAAGGAAAATCAGCATCCAACGAGAGACATATATGATATATGCCTGCAAGCATATCCATGAACAAACACAAATAAACCCGAACACTCGCTGCTAACCTCAAAACTATAGAGAAATCAAAATGAAGCGACTAAGCTTTATCAAAAATCCCAAGCAGCATACTTCCAATAGCAGTCAAAGCAGGCGCATACCCCCAATGTCCCCACTCCCCCTTCCCCGCAGCAAAACACACAGCACCATCTGCGAAGGCCACCCCGCTTCCAGCAAGACAGATCCACCCTAAGGACTTGCGATCTCCATAGTATGCGGGAGCATACATGGCAATACCCCAGAATATATCACAAACTCCATAGATTATCATAAGGTTATCGATTAACTTTTGTGTTGGTGGGTCGGTGGGATAATCGAACTCGAAGAATGAGAGGGCGTTGGAGGGGTTGAGGATCGCGTTGATGCCGAAGCCCAGGGATATGGTTGCCATTGCTGTAGAGGCTATGAGGAGGATATTGGATTTGGAGAGGCGTTTGGAAGGCATTTTGAAAGTGATCAAGAACTAAACATTTGATGAGTGATTGGATTTCTAGGAGTATTGGATTGGTTGTTGCTTACCACTTCTTCGGTGATGGTGTGAGGTTGCGCACGGAGGGCTGGCGCGATGTAGTGATGGCAGGCTTCAATGGAAAAGTGGAGATGTCTTCAGCGCACAACAAACAGGTCTTCGACAAGAAGCTTACGGGTGATGGTAAAGTCGTTGTTGAAGTCGTCCTACAGGTTGAGACGAGGGGAAGCTGGCGTGGTTGAAGTAAACACCGAGACCCGTGGCTGACGGGAGGACACGAAGGCACGTGACTGTCTACCAACTATCGGGTTCTGATTCTATTCGTGGATAAATTGGATCCTCCTCGAACTTATTTCTCAAAGAAGTACTCCGAGATTTCAGAGTTTGATATACAATGAAGGGCAAGACAGTAATTAGGGACTGGCGAGGTATGCGCTCTCGGAAAAACAGGATTGGGCAGAAGTATAATAGGATATTGTGTTCAGGGTGTGGCCTTGGGACATGATGAAAAAAGCCCCTTTGAAATTGATTTTGCCTTCTATTGGGTTCTAGGAGGACAGTAACCTAAAAAGAAAAATGAAGAAGAGACGCCGAAAAAAGGCTGCTACCTACATTCCATATTAACAGGATTGACTATGTATCCTCTACACAAGTTATACAGACACCGCGTAAATCATTCCACAGGGAATGCAAACAGACCAAGTGAAATGTATTGGAAATCGCTGAAACGATATGTATAGTTTTCCCGACATTTCTCATGTACAAGCGAAAGTGCATAAAGCAGCTCGCTTAGCGAGGGATGTGAATATGAAGATTGATCCAGAAGGCGCTGTGCGTTTTCTAAGCTAATGATACGTGCTTTGGGAGTGGATATAATTCAGATAATAGCCAGAACTCCTTTCGGACAGGGACCTATTTCCGTTAACATAAGTTTCGCCTCCAAGGCTGTTTCAGTCACCCACCCAAAGGGCTAATTCAGGTCATCGTATGGCTGAAAGCCAGCTTGCATCTACTGCAGGTTGACCTGGTAGCTGAAACGGTTTGCTTGGTTCCATTTTGGCGTACGGAGTCTTGACGCTTATGGCATCTTCCAGTTCTCCTTGTATTAGTGCTAATCCTTCGCTGAAGATATTTGGTAAATTGTGAAGACCTGCCTAGCTGCTACTTTGGAACTTGCTGGCCTTGTGTGTAAAAAGAAACTTTAGCAGCAGATGCAGAGGGCAGATTGCAAATGTTTCCCCATGCCCCGAGAACCTAGGACAACATGCTGCCCTTACTCGGCATCGCTGCGGGTTGATTGTTCGCTTCTCATTGGCCTAGCCCGCGACTGTCACGTGTTCGCTGGTACCTGGCCAACCACAAAGCCTAATTTGCCCCACCAAATATTCAAGAATCCAAATAAGGAAAGTCGGAGCATCAATCACAAGTCTCTTGCCCAGCTGGTGCGATGGTGGTGGCATCGACCACACGCTGGAGTCAACTCTGGGAGTGCTCGTAGACTTGCCTAGGCCTAACCGTCGTGTTAGGGGTCAGCTCTGGGAGCCCGGGGATGATTGAGGTGGGTCCTGCTTCAGGAAGCTAACTACTGGCTTCCAGAGGGACAACTGCTGTCCCTCGACAACGTAAGAACTGGCTATTCCTAGGAATAGTGCCTGTGTTCCCTGAGACCCCAGCTGGGGTCCATAAGGTTTTGCCATTTTCTCAGTTGGTATATTTTTTTTTTGGATTTATTTTTTAAGCGAGAACGTAGTCGATTATTGTGGTTCATTCCTTTTATCCTGGCTGTCTCGCGAAGCGCTTTTGGGTAAGGGACTTATGGTAGCTATCAGAATTGGTTTCTAAGCTTCTTTCAGGGAAGACTTCACTTGGTTCGATACAGTATTTCTAAGAAGTGAATAGCTAGTTAGAAATATTCGCGTCCCTTCCTAGATCGACCACGCTTCCATATTTATATCATTTCAACCCCCACTTTGCACACCAAAAACGTTCACCTATCGCCAAATACACTGAGCTGTTAATACTAGAAGCCATACCCAGCAATCAAATCCAAAATAACCTTTTCAGCACCACCATGAAGCGGACACTGGAAGACACCGAGTCGCAAGAGGATAATCCAAATATTCCATCGGCACAACCGCCCACGGCCGCTACGACCAGTTTTGCGAATTCGAGAGACTCCTCGACAACGAATGCACGAAGCTTTATCAGATATATGGCGCCAAGGGCATGTTTTCTTGATCTCCCATACGAAATACGTTTGCAGATTTACTACTACTGCACCCCCAGACAAGCAATTATGCAACTCCACGTTCACTTGGACCATGCAAGATATTGGCTTCATTGCCCTATACACAGCAACAATTTATTCCGGCACTCTCGCAACTGGAGCAAGCACAAAACATTCAGCTGCGGCCTCTTTCGAGTTTCTCGGAAAGTCAGCGAGGAAGCGTTAGATATATTCTACGGCGAAAATATCTTGCTTATCCTTCTTGGTATGAGCAGCAGCACTTACCTTCAACGTGGGAAAATATCAGAGCAGAACCTTCGAAGGATCAAGAATGTTTTCATCATTGCCTCCCCTTATGATGATACCGAGTCTGAGAGTGGACTGGCAATCAACTGGGCGGCTATCTTTGCAAATCTTCAGGAACCTCATTTCTTACTGCCGAAGCCTAGTAGCGATTACATGGTGTGCCCATGTGATACTGGGCGCTGGAGGTCCAGCGCTGCTCCTCAATTAAAGGAGTTGATAAATTATCTAGGCAAACTTTTGGCTTCCAAGAGACCCGAGGTGATAATCAAATTCGATGACACAGGCGATAGTGGCGTTAGCGAGCTCATCAGGAGACACTTTCCGAATCATTCGGTCAAGGTCCAACTCAGTGATGAAGTTTTTGAGAGGAGCGAAGCACTGCCTCACTGGTTGAAAAGACGGAGTTACTTGGCATTCCCTTGAGTCCCGAAGACGTTTGGGAATATGTTTCTACAGGAGATGCAGCACCCAGTGGCTTCGTCTTTGTTGCTTCTCGTTGTCATTCATGGGACTGGGAGGAGGTCTGCATTTTCATGTTAGGGAAGGGTCGGTATTATGGGGTTTCCCACTCATGGGGAGGAAGCATCAGTAATTAACCAAATAGATCTCTTCACCTATTCATAACATGGCAAATGTTCAGACACAATAAGGAATAAATAAACTCGCGTTGAACTTGCTTCTCTCAAGCCGCTCTTGGGATAAAGTAACAAGTGATCATATGATTGTAAGCCTTTCCGTAATTAGATTACGCCGATATTGTTCTATTGCTACTGGCGTTCTTTTTAGCGCTGTGGAAGATCTTACCGTTATGGTCAATGTATGATTGACGATCGACCAAATGGCTTGGGCAAGTAACTACACTTTTATGCTTTCTTGATTTAGATAGATAACTCCTTCACAGCGACTGCAAATTAGATAGCTATTTGACAGAAGTCGTATACGTTGTCGACTTTGTTTTGCTGTAATGGCAGTTCAATAGAGCAAACAAACTTTACTGACGAAAACGGTTTTGAGAAGGGCTACTCAACCAGTATTAACCGAATTCTCTGTCAATTTGATGCCCTCTGGAAATCTTTGGGACCGAGACTCTTTCTCACACACCTGATATCCCATTAGCTATCCTCAAATTGACCATTCCATTCGGCCTTCAATCCAAAGCTATGAACATAGCGTAAGATGCTGACACGCTTCAAATGAGATGCCTCGCGCGCTGACCATTGGTGGTGTTACACTGCATCTAAATTTGAACGAGCTCATGGAATCTAACGAATGAATCCATCTTTTACGGGGGTATTTGCGGCTGGTTAAAACAAAGGAAGCACTTGGCAACCCAGCCTCCCTGAGCCCCAAACTATGAGGCCAGAGATTCTGGATTTTATAGATTTTTAAGTTCAAGTTAACATTCCGTTTGTACTTAATTCACTGAGGTTTCCCTGTGACCTACTCGTCGGCCGCAATAAAGAAGTTTTACTCTTCTTTAATTAAGCCATCGGGTAAGAGGACTGTTCTCATACCCTACAGAATCGTCGGTGACGAATTTTGCAAAAACACGTCTGACACGAAATTTTGACGTCATGGGGGGGCGGCGGGGGGAAATTTGTCTGCGCAGCCCCAAAGTCCCCGACAACAATCTTCAATTTGATACACAGCTGTCGGTTTCATTTTAAGCACCGGAAGATTTTGAAGGATTCAGCCGGTAGAATTACTTATAAAGTTGAGGCTCCAAATGAAGACTGGCCCTCACTAACACATGTATCCGAAGAATCTCCTTCTTTTCACGGCAAATTCTATCTTCCACTATACTTTCCTCCATAGTGTCACTATTTTTCATACTTTATGACATTTGAGTGAGAAGATAAATCCTTCCTTCATCTTCCTTACTGCACCAATTCAAAAGTCTATGAGAAGATTTTAACACTTTATACGATATTCCGATGTCCGGTCAAGTCTTTAGCACACTGGAGCCAATAGACAACCAGACAGGTCTAGAAATCGACCCACGACTTCAACCAATGTCTCCCGACCGACTTGCTACTTCTATCTCCGAAAATTCAGAAACCGATCACAAGGAGGTACCAGTGAAATATAGCGAGCGGAAACTTTTCGGTCTCAGAAAGAAGGTCTTCATTCGCACCATAGCAATTGCTCTCTTTCTGATTAGTTGTGCCATCATTGGAGGGGCTATCGGTGGGAATTTGTCGAAGCGTAACTCACAAAAGGCTTCCACAAGTACCAACGAAACAGCATCCGCGCCTTCTATATCTATCGAAACACCCCTTTCGATAACCTCCACCTCAACAACCTCTGCGATCAACTCAACATCAACTTCTTCTCCATTTATTCCAACACCCACATCCAATTACGATCAATTGTTGCAAGACTCGTCCATATCTTCTGTTAACTGGACCGATGGAACGTACCAGCACTATGCAGTCTTCTATCAAAAAAGCTCTGATCATATTTCTGCGTCGGTTTGGGACGAGTATAATAGGACTTGGAGTACTTCGGACGTTAGTGGGTTCAACTTGCCCGCTCCAAATTCCGGTACATCTATCGCCTCCAGCGTACGAAGCATACCTGCAACAAAATACTTCCAGCTGAACGTGTATTTCTACACTGCTGACACCAAGGTTGTGGAGTTGTATACAAAGAGCCAACAGGCTCTCACAAATAGTTGGAACAATGGGCAATTGACGTCCACACCCTTCGTGGGACTTTCTGACTCCCACCTAGCCGCATACTGGGACAATTGTGATTTCCAGTCTTGTCTCTCCAGTTCCGTGACTCTATATCAATCCTTGGATAGTAACCTCCGTTTTTCTAATTCGTCGGGGGGCTGGTACAGAGATGAAAGCCAGATAATAAAGCCAAAGATCGCTGCCCCGAAGACGAGCATAGCCTTGATGCCATGGCAACCAAAGAAAGAGTTGAAGGCGTACATAAAAAACAACAACCGAGTCCAAGAATACACCAACAAATACCAGAACAATATTACTATGTCGAACTGGGTTTTGCGGAAGTTTCATAATGCACGCAGATTCGTAACCACATACTAATCATTTGCTGCTCGTTGCATAATCTAAATTTGGGACGCCTGCCGATGGCTCCATCCTAGAGAATCCTTCTAAGATTGCCGCGATTCCATTAACTGCCAACACTGGAGGTATGGACATATATGTCGTGTCACTCAACACCGATCAAAGTTTGCAGAGTATGCGTAATCATGACTTTAAATGGGTTGGTCTAATTTCACCAAGTCTGAACCAAGCGGTTCGTAACTTTACAGATATTGCAATGAACCATGATCGGCGCTTCTATGGTATTTCAGATGGGAAAATACATGAATATATGGTATCTGAGAATCCGGACCTGTGGAACTATATGGGAGTTGTCAATACAACTAGAGCGTAAAACCCACGGCGGGGTGTACCGGAAATTTGGCGTTTGGAAAAGAGCCCGTTGCAATGGTGGAATGGTCCACCTTCGCTGAAGACCTTGTCATATATCTTGTATAAAGTCTAATTCCAACTGGCGTTTAGGGTTTACATTTGGTGGTTTGTCCTCAGACAAAATCACAATCACTAGATCTCAAAATTTGCTATATTATACTTGTGATTCCATTCCGCGAAATTGGGTTTAGTGATACTTCTTTATGAACCATATCGTTAGCACACTGCTTCTGGACCACCACCTAGCGTTCACACACACGTACAGTGAAGCTGCAATTTATGTCTGGAAATAGCACAGCACCACCGTAAATTGATACAGTAGGTTGGTTACCAGAGCAGCTCATAAGTGTTAGCCTAAGTATTTAGCCCCACCACCTGCCCATCCATGACACCAAATCTTGTCCAACATTTGACCCTCCACACCCATACATACAAGATCTTGCGAGAACTAAAGCAGCTCATAAACCAACACCTCCAACAACATCAAGCCTTTTCCCACAGCGATCCATCCACCAGTTTCAGAATGGAACCCCCTCTCAACGAAGCCTTCGAGTCTACGACAGATCCTCTTGCAGATTTGCCACAGTACATTCACCCCTTCCGTAAGGAATTCAACGGGCTTCAGGATTTCATCGAGAACTTTCAACAACGCAAAGTAGAAATGGAAGACCATCACTGCCCTCTCTCTAAACTCAAAGACTTTGTTCAGTTGAATATCGTGGGAATCCAGCAACAGATCGTGAACTTGATTCACATGATGAGCCCATTCTCTTTCATGCGGCTTCCATTGGAAATTCGCGGAATCTACTCTTACTTCCTGCCAGAGAGTGAGAACACATGGAGTCAATTCACTTCCAAGTTTCCCACTTACCCAAGAGAGCTTGCCAAGGATGCTCTCAGTCTCCTCTGCACAAAGCAAATACATAACGAGGTCTTGGTTATCCTTCCCTTTAAGGGCAATATGAATCTTCGTAATTTCATCACCAAAGCTCCTTGTGAAGTATATGGCTGGTATGGGGAGATATGGAAGGGTTTTTACCTATTGTTTTCGCAACACCCTTTCTTTACTTCCAAAGTCTACACCCTGGAATGAATCAACGCGCTCTGATATCCAACCTTCCATAATTGGACTCATTTGGACTTCGAATCTGTATCAAAATACCAACTCGCGAGGAATTGGGCTGGGCTGGCTTCTAGCACTTCCAGAGTGTGTCGGTTGTTTTTGTTTCTTGCCCAACTAAGGCCACGCTATCGATATGGACTCTGGGGTGGTAATAGCCAGGCTGGACAGGAAGAACTCATTTACTGAGGATTATTGCGGAGTTCTTTTACGACAATTGGAATGGATGATCCCGGAACTCGTTATCGGGCAAATTGAAACTTTTCGTTCTTATGGTTCTTATGGTCAACAAGTCGACGATAGCCAAGGGCAAGGAAGATCATATCTTGATTGAGGAATATCGACCAATGTTAGGACAAGCAGGCCCAGGTGTAATACTGGTTTCTTAAATGATGTCTCCCTTATCACTAATGCAGAACGGACATACACTTGGCTTTTAGTCATCGTGTGTTGATTTCTTTAGTAAAGCACTGTCTTGCAAGTAAACATGATATTCTCCCAATCTATGTGGTACTTGAAACTGAGTGCAATTCTGTGAACTTTTCATCATGCTTAAGTATTGTGAATAGAAACAAGATATGCAAACAATGTCGCCATCAATCTAATAAATACTGCCTATTCTGTGATTTATGGCCGCCCAAATCAATAAAACAACCCAGAAGAAGTTTGAGTCTCTCAGCTAAAGCTGGAATCCCATTCATCGTCTCTCCATAGAAAACAGAAGACGAAGGCCATACCTTCGATTTGAGGTGACTGAAGACTATTGAATCCAGCAAAGAGTCTAGTACATAATATGTATGTCGTTTAACATATGTGATCTTCTGTCCTCTCGTATCTGAGCATCAGGACATTCTCGGTATGGATTTCTACAATGGATACGAAAACTGTTTGGGCAGGGTGGCTTCTGGGTCTTTTGAAATATTTTGGGTTGTATTTCTTGAAGTAATTTGTGGGATTTGAGTACGTTGTGCTGTTTAGGTGATTAGAGGGACTTTCATGGAGAAGTTGAGACACGATTGTATTTATGGCCCACTAGCGGATACTGTAAATTCATTCTGAAGGAGTCACAATTATGCTTGTGAAAGGCAAAAGATAAGGGTTCTCAAAGGGACTTCTGGGATCCTTAATATTAGCATGTAAACTAGAGATGGATGCGGCTACTTCAGGTTTCTGTTATGTGATTGTCTTTTCTCATTTCTGCACAATAATTATGGCCATCAGAAGCGAAGTGATTGTTTTCGCATGATACATAAGAACAGTGAATTGGTGTTTGTAAGTTGGTATCAGTAGTGAATGGCTAAATGTTCATGATTTGTGCTTATATCAAACATGAAGGAGCATTATTCCACCTTAGAGTACTCTCCTTTCTACTAAAACACCTTCTTTCAACATCGCAAACATTAATCCTCGCAACTACAATCACAACGTTGTGCGCATCAAAACCGTTTCCCTCCAGCCGACAGAGAAACACAATACAAGCACAGCCCTTCAAGCACAGCTCTTCATCTCACCAAAGTAACCATGAATGGTGCCGACCCATTTGCTAGAATACCTCCAGCAGAAGGAACCAACCCTTTTCTGGACGAGCTTTATCAACTCCAAATCCCAGTGGCGCGCCTCCAAGAACAAATGCGAGTATATCAGAGTTTCTCAGCAGGTGGAGAGGAGGGCCGTAAAAGAGTACTCGGTGAGAAAGTCAACAAGAGCAGAAACTACCTCGTCGAACAAATCTTGGGTTTGATTCGGGACAAGGAGGCGTACAGAAAGCGGAAGCAGAACCCCACTCGACTTTTCGATCTTCCATGGGAGTTGCGTCGTCAAATCTACTTTTACCTCCCTCCCCCATACTTCCGATTGTGGAAACTGCTTTCGCTAGCATTCTATTCGTTGCTATTCCCTCATTACTATTCTCCCCTCAGTACCGTCTGTGGAAACTATATGGCGCAAGCAAAAAAAATGGAGATTGTGACGGCTGGCAGGATGCTATTTGTTTCGAAGCAAATGACGAGGACGTGTTAAGCATACTCTACGGCGAGAATTACTTCATCGTGACACTCGATGGACTTAAGGGAGACATAGGCCTCAGTGCCCGGTCCAACGCTCTGCGGATCAGAAACCTCCACCTAAATCTTTCGTTCGGCATAGGTTTGCACAAGGGTTCGCTCGAACAAGACGAAGAAACTTGGCTACACATGCTTTCAAATTTGCGAAGACTGGAGATTCATTTATGGTACCCGTCGCATCGGAATGTTGGGAGGATCTTCGCGAAATGGCTCAGAAGCCTTCTGTTACACTGTGACCGATCCCTGCCCAAGGACTGTGAGATAGTGATTGACCATGATGGAAATTCCGAAACAAAGTTGGTAGTCCAGGAATCTCTGAAGAGGGCCTATCGATTCGAACAAGTGCTATACCCATCGCATTATTGCTGCTCAATAAACCCTCTTCTGTTAACATCATTCTGAGCTCTGTTCTTGATTGTCGCCGAAGTGAGAGGCTTATCTAGAATGAAGGAAACCAAAGACAGCGACTGAGCGGTATCAATTGTGGACTGAATACGACTTGGAAGCTTAGCTAGATCTCTTTCAACATCATATTCCATCAAAGATTTACTTTGTCCTTCTGAAAGAAGCATTCCGTGTGAGTCCAATAGCGAATATCTGGATCTGTCATAAAAGATCCACAGGATACGACATTAATTGGTTTCCAAGATACCATATGATGATGAAAAGATCTATAAAATGAGAAAAATAACCTTATCTTATTGAAAAATAGTACCTAATAGGCAAAGCAAGTAAGTCTAGACGACTAGCCACACTCTGTTAGTAGAGACAAGACCAGGGAGACCTTTTGTAGCTACGACAAGAACGAGTTGAATCTATAGTTACTGTAATTATTGGTTTGTTTTTCACCTAGATGATGGGTGTAAAAGGGGTAATTTGAAGTGACTCTATTACTAAACCTACAAGATATATGACCAAGGACCTGGTTTGGAACCTAGTCTCCTATCGCGATATACCTGATACGCACGATACTTTAAGATACCTATTGTCGTACCGGTATGCCAATATTACGGTAAATCGGAAAGCATCGTTCTCTGTACAAGAGAAACTTGTCTTGAGAGGTTGATAATACTCCAATAAGCCGTCAAAGACGATATCCTAAAATTAAAAACTAATTCGACCTGGGCCCCAAAAAAAGGGGGACACAAAGTCAATTCAACCACTTTAGCGAAACCGATCGCCGGTAACGTCATCGTGAACCCCGCGGCAATCTCCCTTCCCTTCCCTCCTCCAACCACACTACACACTTCCGAATACTTTCAAACCCTCGACCAAAACCACAATGCCCAACATCCTCATAATCGGCGCAACCCGCGGCCTCGGCGCATCCCTCGCAAACGCCTACGCCGCCCAGCCCAACACGACTGTCTTTGGTACGACGCGATCCCCCGCGGGTCCGAAGGGACTGAACGAGAAGATTGTATGGGTTCCCAATATCGATGTTAGTGACAGCGGCGTGGGAGCGAGGCTCCTCAATCAATTGGGCGGTTTGGGAGTTGCTGGTGGAATGGTGGAGGGAGATAATGAGGTTCGGGGTTTCGATGTTGTTGTGAGTTTACCCCTCCTTGGAGAGCTCTGGAGGCACTGGAATGGCTGCAGTAGGTTCCGCAATGAAACAGAGTCTGTTTTTAATTTCATGATAGGTAATTTCCGCGGGATACTTTGTGACGGAGGATTTTGTTGAAGGCCCTAAATGGGAGGAGGAGGTAAAGATGTACAGTGCGTATCAAGCTCCCAAATCCACCCTCATGGGCACGAATACTAAGGCTTTATTCCACAGCAACATCGGCCATATCCCCACCCTTCATAGTCCATTCCCTATCCCGCGCGAAATACATCTCAAAAGGATCAAAAGTCCTTCTCATATCCTCCGAATCTGGATCCATAACCCTACGACATCCAAAAGAAGGCGGAGGCAACTACGGACACCATGCTAGCAAGTCTGCACTGAATATGGTAGGGAAACTGCTGAGTATGGACGTCAAGGATAAGGGCATCATTATTAGCATTCTACACCCAGGATTTATGAGGACGGAAATGACTGCTGGTGTAGGCTTTGATAAATATTGGGATGATGGCGGGGGTGAGTTAATACGTTCTCACACATGGAGGAAATGGGATTTGGAATATGTTTGAGGGAATGCTGACGATTTATAGCTGTGACGCCCGATGAAGCTGCCAAAACACTAATTGATTGGACTGAGAAATTAGATATGAGCAAGTCTGGGCAATACTGGGCACCACGGGGCGCAAGTAAGAAATCCAACATCGTCCTTAGACTGGCTCTTGCTAATTGAATTGCTTTGAAGGGGACATAGGAACAGCTGATGTCACAATTGGCACAAACTTACCTACTCCATTGCAACTGCCATGGTAGATCAAAGGAAATACAATTCAAGATATCACAGTTCTCATGGACCAAATCACCCACAAAGTAAAAATATTTCTTTTCATCATTCTTCTTTATTCATATTACAACTCCCCGTCATCTCATCATTTCGACAAACTCCCAGATTAAATCCCAACTTTCCCGTCCCAAATATTAGGCGCGATTTCCTCTTCCCAATCGCAATTTTTCATACAGTCTCCCAACCCCAAATACATCACTTCTACAATCATCTTACAAGGCAGCGATCATTCCACCAACAATCCCCATAACGCTTCCAAGGCCCGCAATCAACGTTGGAGCAGCACCCGCTCTACTCGAAGAGGACGAAGGGCTTGTAGAACCCGAACCTCCAGTACTCGAAGGTCTCGTAGTTGAAGTAGAGGTTGCAGTAAGTCTGGCGCTTGTCGAGAGAGCAGTGCCATTGGAAGTTGGTGCAATAGTTCCGCCGGTTCCTACAGCAGTCACGGTCGCGTTTGAAGCTACACCACCCGATGCACGGAATTGATCACATAATTTGGCTCCGTTGTTCGCAGCGGTTGCGAGCTCATCGGGTTTGCATGCGTTGCTCTTGATGAGGCATGAGCTGGCGGAGTTTTGGATGGATACGTAGGCGGATGGACTGCATTGGCAGCTTGCGTCGGTCAAGGCGCAGCCTGCGGAGGTAATGGAGCTTCTGATGCATTCTTGCTGTTGGGATGTTAGTCGAGCTTTCTTTGTAAAGGGCGATTTGGTGGCTAGAAGAGATGGGAGGACTGCTTACAGCACAAGTTGGGATACCGGCAAAGTTCTGAGCGGACACGATAGTGGCAGCTGCCATGAATAGGATTGAGTTGAACTGCATATTTGCGGTCGTATGGAAATTGGAAGGTTCAATTGAAAACGAATGTGATGGTTTAAGTTTCAAGAGATACTGTACGAGATGAAGATGGGAAATGGAAGAGACGGTAGCAAGATTGTGTACGGATGAAGGAGGAAGAAAGAGAGTTGAGATTGATGAGAGATTGAGGACAGGTTCTGGTCGGGGTCCAAAAGGTCCTTTTGAGCTCGTACGCCACAAACACTGCTGGGGAGATTGATTCACAATTTACTCGTACACTGCCACTCACTTTCTTTCCACTGCCTCCTCTACCGAGCCGCAGACTCGGATATGCTTGCTCCTGATCCCGAGGGGGCAGTCGCTAAACCTGTTTTGGTGACTTTGTGCTTCCTTCTGGGGGGGATTTGTTACCACATTTTGATGTGTGGTTGGTTGTTGGATACGAGGCTGGATGCTTGATACTTCATGCATTGGAATGGTGATGAAAACTCCTCTTTACCTCTCATACTTTATCCTGCCTTCCTGTTTTTTCTCCATCTCCCTTTCGCTAAAGTAACAACCATCTCGAGAAATGGAAAAAGAAAGAAAGATTGGCTGGTAACCCAATTTACTTTAATGCGTGAGGAAGAGAGTCAATTTCCCCTGCGAAACGTCGGAAGCCATCCTCCTGGAATATGTGTGGAACAACCCATTTTGATTGGCGAATTGGGATGAGATGGCGCATGCTTTTTGATTGGTGTGGCTGTGAGGTAGGCGCGGTTTGTGGTGGGTGGTTACATTGTGTGTTACGTGGTTTTTTGTTGGAGGGTGATTTGGGGAGGGGAGACGCGACTTGGGGGCGGAAAGGTTCGTGATGAGGAATGTTGGGATGTTGGAATTTTGGAATTTGAGGTTGGTATCAGGGCCACATGTAGTTATATATGGGGGTTTACTCAAATGACCGTCAAAGGAAGAGAGAGAAAATTTTGTTCTGGAGGCACTTCATGAGGTATCTTTTCATCATTTACTCATGTACGGAGTATTCGTGGGATAAGGTGATCTGGTTTGTTCGTACATACCATGTATTCAGATCACGATCTAGGAAAAACCTTTACGTAAGTACATATCCTCCCCTCCTCCGAGTTAAGTTGCTTCAAATGTAACTGTAACATCTCGTATGAGTTGTACAATTCACCTGTTTCTATTTATAGGTTCTGTAGTGGTTCTGTCGATGCGATTAGTGTTTGTGTGTGATCTGGAAAAAGATTGCTACTGGCTGTTTTCTACTCTAGTACTTAGAATATAGAGTGTTGAAATCGTCCTGAGTTGGTTAGCTAGGTGTTTACTATATGAAAATCAATTCCGTTCCTTCATGGTCCGATTCCCCCTCACTCTGAGTAAACACACGTGAGAATTATACTTTTTATAAAGTTTGTATCCTTAGAATAACGCATTTACTCTACTCGATATTGCCCTACTAAATAGGCATGGGAATTTGGGATAGCATTGCGGAAGCTAGCTAAACTCTAGTCCCTGTAATTACTTAGGTTGAACAGGGTTCTACGTAAAGTGGTAACACTTTTTGATTAGTATAAAATATAGTTCACTTTTATACTGTTTAACCCTATAATCAAGGCTAAACAATTGAAGCATAAGACAGAAAAGTACCCTCTTAAGTCATACAAAAGCAGCAATAAAACAACAGACTAGCACACACATAACTGCACAAAAAGGTACAATTGGGCATAAAACTTTCTTGCTAATGAGGTTAAGAGACTGTACATAGCAAGTTTGTCGTATCACAGCCTACTCTTCGCTCTCTACAACGATTTCCTCCTAATAGAGAAGTAAGAGTCTCAAGCCCAGATGCCCAATCCCAATGATAAACAACAAAGACGTGAGATGCGATTCGCGTGACACCAGATCCATCCATCCAATAGTAACACCACAGATATGCTGAGCTTCATCACGTCAAATCATCCATCTAGTAGATAGCCTTTATTTACCGGGCGCATCGACATGGGGCTCCACATCGCCAGTCGCCGGCAGGACCCTACCGAAGAGTTAGTGAGCAGTTTTGTAAAGTTTGACTTGAAGAGATTCTTACACCCCTGCTAGAGCAAGTACTATTACATTCGAGTACTAGGGTGCCGCAGTCTGGGCTGACTTGGGCCATGGTAGAAGTGGCAAGTGCGAACACAGCCATTGCAATGCTGATGAACTTCATGGTGAAGGAAGATGTGTTGGACTTTGATAGATGTGTAGTGGAGTGGAAGAGGAAGAGGTGTTGAGTGATTGAGTGATTGCGTGATTGAGTGATCGAGAGGATGATCTGATAAGATTAGATGGCGTTCTTCACTCGAGCTTTATAGAAAAAGTTCATTATACTTTCCTTAATGCCGAGGCATTTTCATCATTTTTAGACACGAATCATGAAAGAACTTTCGGGGTACCTGAAGCTCTCGGTGTCAAGCGGCTTGGAAGTCTTTCGGAACTTTATTCAATGCATCTAACCCTGTGGGGTAAGGATCGGTAGAGAAGTTTTGTAGACGATTTTTGTTTTTAAGAAAACAGTTTATTATTAGTGTGAATCTAACTTTTGGAATAACGTTTTTGAGCAAGTTTGTATGCGTTATTTTAGTAAAACTTGGTAATAAGTTAATAAATAAGTCGTCACATAAGGCATAAAACCTATTCAATTTCTTTTTCACCCGAGCTAGGTCCGAACCAGGACTGAGTCGCCGATGTATTCAACGGGTGATTGTTGTTTTAGATCTCTGATATTTGAGAATACAGATTGAATAGGTATTTTGTAATTGTGTTATGTAGGACTGAGCGAGGGACAGAACCGCCTGTAAGTGGGAAATGCGGCCTAAGTAGTGCTATTATGTGTGCTATCTGCGCGTTCTATAACGCTTTCGAACGATCTTGAGGACGATTTGCTACTCGGGAGCAGTAAATCGTCCAGACCGCAGCCGCTGTAACAAATTAGTGGGTTAATATCGTTGGGGTAAATTGTATGCTAAAAGCGTCGGTGTAAATTGTCGGAGTATAACTAAGTCGAGTGTAGTCCATGGTCGATTTGCAGAATCGGCTCCCTTTTCCGAGTGAACCGAGCTCAATTACAATCATTTCAAGGCATGAGTGGAAGTACCGGAAACCCTTGTACCGGTATATCTACGAAGTAACAAGGGATCATTCTGTTTACATATTACTTCGTCCCAGGCATAATAAATGTAGGGTAAAACCGCCGTAAAAGTTACAATTGTTATGCCCGGGACGAAGTATAAATAGCAGAGACACTGTAACACTTTTTTATGCACATTCACAAGACAAAACGGCCTGTGCTCTTGTATTTACATACCCAAGTCAGTAATTACGTCGATTTATAATGTTTGTATTATCTTTTGCGATTATCATTCGGAAGAACATTATGTGGCTATCTCAAAATTGGTACCGTTTCTTTTTGTCTAGCGAAGTAGACATTGGTATTGAAGATTACTAAAGTTTTCACCACGAGTTGAACAATATCCTCACGTTGCATCATAAAGTTATGTAAATTTTACATCTATGGTTTTGGGTTCGTCGTGTCCACTTAAACGCATGGTAGCTGCACTTGTTTCCAGGTACTAAGTCGCATATATATCGGCATATGTTTGATTGTGAGATATACTTGTAACAAGTGCAAAGTTAGATTCTTCATACTTTACCATGGCACTTCACCGCTGTTTGCATTCTCAGCCCACAAGGTACGACGTGTAACCATAAGTTGTGACGTAGAGAAGGAATTCCGTAGAAAGGCCCCGCACTCTGCATCCTCAATGCTGTCTGTCACCAATGATAGTCTCCACGCCTGTGGCCAAATTCCGATTGCCGAAATTGTTGTAAAGTACGAGTCTGATGTAAGTTACCGCGAGGAATAGAGCTAAGACTGTGGAGCGACGCTCTGCTGAAAACCCCCTCTTTCTTGTACTTATCTTGTGTTATTGACCTTCTTCCTCTTGCGTGCAGGAGAATACGAAAGGTCTGTACTAACCGCCCGAAAAGCTCCTAGAGAAATGTGTACCAGGCTGTGTTCCTTCCTCAATGACACTGCCCATTGAATACAGAAAAAGACAGAAAGATCAGTTCATCTGGTGGTCAGGTGGCAATAGTCGCAGACGAGTTGCAGAAATATGAAAAACCGAAGTTGCCAGTGAATATATTCTTAGCTCTCCACGGCTTAGTTCCCAATAAGAGTAGGGTCTCCTATTGTTTTGCCAATTACTGCATACCCATTCCAGGCTAGTGCCGCTGGCCTCGCTTACTTGCCTCGCCACATCGTTTGGGTACTCTTTCTGCAACCTGCAAGCCACGGCACCTTTTTGCAAGTTTGATTCAACAGAACTTCACTATCTCGAAAACTAATTCTAACTTGTATGAAACTGAAACTGAACTTGAATAAACCAGAGAAAGATTTACCTTCGGAGTTCAAAATTCTGCCAATACCTCTTTCATTGTCGAAACGAGCTGACAGGCATATCGACATACTACTTTTTCTGGGTACAATACATCTAAGCAAATACTTCGTTCTACAGCTTCGTCCAGAAACAGCCTACTATACTTTTGATTAAGCCATGTCCTATCCCGAGGACGTTATTACTGAGCTATTGTTCGAAAGTAGATAATGAAGGAATATGCCAGGACTATAATTCTCGGTTCTAACATGCTAACGGGACTTTTCGGAATGTTTTCATGGTTGGAAGGAAGGCAACTTTCCACATTACGCTTTCCCTTGGCTGTGATATTTCTGGCTAACTCAACAGGTTCAATATGATAGCACAAGGTCTGCTTTCGGAAGGCTTTACAGAGCAAGCCAAATTACAGCAATGAAGTAAGTAGTGGATACAACATCATGCTTGGCAACTGGCATGAATGAATTTGGCAAGAAAATTGGGAGATAAGAGCTCCAAATGTCTCCAGATTCATCTGATTCTAATTATTACAACCAGTTATTCTGAAATCAATCTTCAAGCAGGCCCAACGGAAAGAAAATTAAGTCAATGGTAAACGCGCCTGCTGGAGATAAGACAGGGATACATCGAATCCAGAAGAGTTAAGAATGGTACTTATGGGGGACTGTATCCTGTTCTGTACCTAAGCTATCCTACTGTAGGAAAGTTACAGTTGATACGCCTAGGATGAAGTATAATAAATCGTGTGGAGGGAGGGTAAGGGGCGGGGTACGGGTAACGCGAGCTGTGCTAACAAAATCCCGCTTTTTAGTCAATTAGACTATTGTACTACATTATGAATTTGGGGAATCAAACTATAAAGTGGCAAACATGTCAATCCATTCCATACTGTGCTTTTATATAGTAGCTTTTTAAGGTCACTAAGGTGGAGAACTCCAGAAGCACTGTTCAAGGCAGCGCACACTTTTTAAACTTCAGTGTATATTAAAAAGGACTGGTTAGCCTTCATCCTCGTCTCAGACTACAATCTGAAATATAATCTAGCGCAGTTGGCTAATATTATCACAACCAGTGAACCTCCAGGACGGCGCATCAGAGGTGTCAGCTTCCCTGTCGTTGCCGAAGTTTTAGATGCAAGTGTGGAGTCAGTCATCAACTATGGTACAAATTGAAGTCTTAGAGTCCGTCCAAAGGAGCAGCATGGCGAAGCAAAACCATTCCGCTAGCCGTTTGGAGTTCTTTTCAAAGACCAGAGCCTTTTAAAGGCATGGCCTTTAACGGTTATCGAATTTAAAACTAGATTTTAACCTCGTCTCTTCCCTTTTATATCTGGTCTCAATGAAGGCAGCCTATACTCAAAACCACTTCTGTCAACATATAAATTGGAGGATTGAGCACCTAGACGAACCCTGCGGTATGATCTCGTCGATGTTGATGAGTCAACGGGCCGCAAAACTTGAAGTCAAGACGACAATGTGTGCGTACTCTGGAATGAATAAAGCATTCGCATATGGTACTGTAACTCTATGAAAGATGCATCTCGATTCTTTCATAATTTGCTGGCCCCTTTCGCGTATCGACTCAAATCCTTGGCTTCTTCTCGGATAGCTAGCTCGCCCATGATTTCTTCGCTCCCGCCGCCTGTTCTTGATCAGTAATTGTGCCAGGTATATACATGCTGGCTCCGTCTAAAAGCCACCAAAGATAAAGAAGGAACTTACCAACAGCCATGACCCTCGCATCACGACTAATAGCCTCAATTCTATGGTGCAGTATATCAGTAAAACACTTAGCCCAGAGCCCCAAGTAAAGAAAAAGGAACACATACCTTCCTCCCTTCCCACCCCTCGCATACCCAAGACCTCCTAACACCTGCTGAGCCTCCCTAGCACACTTCTCCAAACACCTCGTAGCAACAATCTTAACAAGCGCGGTCATTCCCCCTAACTTTACCTCATCCCCACCGTTCTGAACAAGCCACGTTAACTCCTCAAGCATCGCCCAAGCCGGCTCAACCATCCTTCCCATCTTAACAAACTTCCCGCGAATACGTTCATTCTCAATCAACTTCCTCCCAAAAGTCTCACGCTCGTTAGCATATTCCCAAGCATCCTGAATGCAAACCCTACTCAAGCGAAGACTCTGCGTCGCAATCGCGCGTCTCTCAGCATTGAAATTTGACATGATGACTTCGAATCCGCGATTTTCAATATGGAGAAGGTTGGAGGTGGGAACTAGGACGTCCTCGAAGGTTATAAATGTACTTCCCGAGGCGTTGACACCGGAGTTGTGCATACGGCGACGTTTGACGCCGGGGGAGGAGAGGAGAATGATGAGGAGAGAGATTCCTTTTGCGCCGGGCCCGCCGGTACGTACTGCTGCTGTGCAGAAGTCGGCCCAGATACCGTTTGTTATCCATTTTTTGGAGCCGTTGACGAGGTAGTTGTTTCCTTGACGGATGGCGGTGGTTTGAATATTGGCGACGTCGGATCCGGCTTTTGGTCCGTTAGCATGCGTAAATCCCTGATCAAAGGAGATGAGTAAGGGAGAGAAATACCATCGGGCTCAGTAATGCCCAAACAAAATCTTATACTCCCATTCGCTACACCGGGAAGCCATTTTATCTTCTGTTCTTCTGTGCCGAAATTCACAATTGGAGGGCAACCGATACCATTTCCTCCTCCCGTACCCCAACTTACTCCTGTGTACCCCTATGCATTTCATATCTCAGATATATTCTTGAATATAAAATGTAAAATGAGGAAATAAAGGGGGGTAAACGATGGACATACCACACGAGTCAACTCATCATTGACGATCAACGTATGCCACTCATCCCAATCCTCAGACGGGATACCCCCAGGGAGAGGAACATTCTTCAAGCCCGTCGACAAAGCGAGATATCCCAGCTCTGCATGTCTTTTATATACCTAATTCCTTACATCAGTCTTTCATTTTTCTCCTTGACTCATACTCTCCTTCTTCTTCCCCCCTCTCCCCACATCCATCACCAAGTAAACGAGTTCCGTAAAGGGAAAGAAAAACATACCTCCTCCGGAATCTCCCCACTACTCTCCCACTCAAAAGCAAAGGGTCTCAACTCCTCATCAACATAGTTCCTTACAGACGCGCGAAGTTTCCGATGTGAATCGTTGTAATGAGGGGATGTATCACGGGAGTACCACAGTGGTTCAGCATACGGTGTTGGACATCCGAATGCTTGCGGCATTGCGAGAGGAGTTTACGGTGTGAGACTACTAGAGTTTGAGGAAGAGTGAGAGCTGAGATGAGATAGAATGGATTATGATGATCTATTGATGTGTTGTTGTGCATTTGGAGTGAATAGATTGTGTTGTGTTCAGGTTGATGTCTTGGAAATATCCGGACCTCGGCACGATTTGCGGCCGGTGCCGAGTTTCCCCACCCCCCCCTTTTCCGTACACCCCCTCAAGCCTACACTGTAATAAAACCAGATGGAGTCGTACTGCATAACCATAAATGAGATTCATTCGAATATTCTTGGTTTATTGATGATTCCTTTGATGTGCCCATGTATTTGATTACTTACCTACTGTACAAGAAGAAGCAGTATTTTTTACCCAAAATTTAATATCAAGGATTACAATTCATATTATTATTATTAATTCCCCAGCACCAAGCTATGAGGGGTATCAAGTTCAGAGACATCAACTACCTAGAAGCCTCTATCACTTCCGAATCCAAGTCCAGCATCAAGCCAAACAAACGCAAAATCTTTGATAAAAACAAAGAAGAAACCTCCCTCCACAAGAACCAAACTACCCAGTTCAAATTTTGGGCTTAATACTCTGCGGGTTCCTGAATAAATCTTTGGGATCGAGAATCCCCTTCAATCTCTCCAGCTCGGGCAAATTGCTTCCAAAATACTTCTGCTGGGCGTCCGGTAGTTGTAGATCCACGTAACCTGGGTAAGATCCCAGACTCTTGCCTTGACTTCCGTTCAACACAATGTCATCCATTCCCGTGATGAAAGAACGGGTTGTCGATGAGAGGGTTGGGATGCCAACACCGTAGGTTTGCAAGTAGAGCAGTGCGTCGCGATGGCCGTAGGCAGTTGCGTTTGAGGGAATATCTTGAAGGATATCAGTCTCCTGAACGAAAGAGGCAAGTGTATATAAACAGAAAGGGGAAGCGAGAATCTTACCATTGATAGCACCCCCTTCTAAATCAAAAATCGCAAACCAAATCAATGTACCTTTATCCACATTATCCAAGTACTGAAAGAATGTATCAATAGTATCACCAGGAATCAGATCCTCTTTGGTGAATGCAAGGTTCTTTGAATAGAAGGGAGTGCTCAAACCACCAAGAGAAACACCCAAATCCTCCGCCCAATTAGCAACAGTACCCAGAAAATCATCAAAAACAGTAACGTTTTGAGTTGAGGAATCAGGGAATATGGATGTGATGTTAAGAGCTTCGAATTCGGGTTTTGATCCGAAGAAGGTCCCCGAGATAATCATCCCGAGCTCCGTAAGCGTGACTTGACTTGCTAGTTTTCGACTGAGGTTGGGATCAGAGATCATCGTTTGCCAGTCCTTAAAGCGTTGAGCTAAATTGGCAAATGGTCGGGCACTGAAGGTGTAGGAATAGTGAACTGTTTGGCCCGGCGCGGGATGTGTTACTACTTTGAAGTTTGTAACAATTCCAAAGGAGGCTCCCGCTCCCTTGAGAGCGAAAAACACCTCCGGGTATTGAGTTGCGGATGCTTTGACTATCGTCGAGTTTGCGAGAACTACTTCGTACTCTATCACGTGGTCCATTGCCTGATGTTTGTTAGTACTTTTCCTGAGCTGTGTTTGTGAGTGAACTGACAGTTCCCCACATTCGACTTGTTGGCCCTAAACCGCCCATTGTTGCGTGACCACCTATCCCAACATCAGGACAAGTGCCATGGGCCATGGCTCGATTACCAGAGTTGAGAAGTCTTTTTGTAACATCGCCAAGTTTTGTGCCTCCAAGTTGTCAGTGAAGAATATGACTAGGTTGTCTCCTACTCACCTCCTCCGATTGTTGCTTCGAAGTTTTCATTCATGGAAAAATCCTGAAAGTTCTTCAAGTCCACGACAATAGTAGAGTTCTGACCTCCACCAAGGCCTATACCAAAACGTTAGTCAAGTATCAAATATCGAGTGGTACCGGCAAACAGTTCGATGGCAGTGATTCAGTGAACCTTGCAAAACGACAACTCACACGACACAACAAGGAAAACATCTCAAAACATACCATAGTTACCATACGAATGCCCACCTCCTCTAGCCTGAACAGCATACCCAGCTTCCGCAGTAGCACATTTCACAATCTGAGAGACCTGATCCGTAGTTTCGGGATAAGTGACAGCGACTGGGTGAACTTTGATGTCTTGATTATAAGGTCTCACGTCAATCAGTTGATACAAAGGCTTCGAAGGGAAAGCGACAAGATCTGCATTTCCTCCAACAGCACTAGTCAAGCAGGTCTCTAGGGTCGAGGCGGATTGTGTATTTCCCATGATATCGGTTATCCAAAATTATCCCAAGTACAAGTGAAGAGATAGAAAGAAGAGATGCGAGGTCATAGGTTTTTCGGATGCGGGATGCAATGAGAATGTAAATACGATCGACTTAACACCCAAGAACTCGCTTCCAGAAGAAGAAGGGGCGATCATTTGCTGAGAAAGTCAAGCCGGAGTTATAGGCTTAGGAAATGAGTCCGGAGAAACTACGGAAGAGTCCCAACCATTCACAAATTCTGAAATTTATACGGAGGATACTGTGTTAGAATTATTCACTTCGGAATCTGCAAGTGTGATTATGGCAGTGCATTGATTCGCAGCGATCGATACGCCGTGAGTTGCAGGCTGGAAGTTGGAACAAAGAAGCAGGTCGAATCTGAGCCACTGGTAACAGTGGATGATACGGTATTCCAACTTGATGGGCTGAGGTGTCACCCAATAACATAGAAAAGGGGGGGACCCCTTTCCTTGGCCCCTCATAGTAAATTGATATGTATTGGATGTCAGCTTGTGTGATGTTGGAGGAAGTTGTGGCGCAAGTCACGAACCCGGCCGTGGGCTGCTTGTGATGCCTTATTTTGTGGCGTATCGCTGTAAAAGGCAGCTTGAACGCTGGGCCATGACGACGACGGGGGGTTTTCAAGAACTTGCTCGGAAAGACAAGAGGCCACGAAATTTGACTGAAGTCAGTTTCCAGTCGAAGACTTGAAGTAACTGAGCGAAGTCTGTGCTGCATATTTATGAAGGGGTGGATGCAAATGATTTACAGTATCCGAACGGTCGGTTCGGAAAACCATGTTTTCCGTGGTGTAGATTAGGGTTGTAACCGCAAACTGGATAAATTATAAATCGTGTAAAAAAAGTCCAAGTCCAATTAAATCAAGATCTGGGCTCTGCATTTGAATCTTGGCATATGGTTTTAGTATAGAAGAAGGAGCAAAATTAGACTAATTCCACTGCAAAGACTAGGTATTAAAATTGTATGTAAATAAGTACTTACTGTAATTCATAGATTCTAGCGTAACTTACATTTCCAGAGTAGCTTCGCGCGGTTGTTCACTTCTGCCTTAGTTATCTTATCAGATTCTCCTCACACATCGACGTTGTGGGTGAATTTAGACATGTGGGAGCTTGTGGAGAGATGGGTGGAGTGGAATTGATAGTTGGCAGGGAATTTGTAGGCCCACCAGGCTATTGAGATATTCCGTTTCGGGGATCACGTGCCCCGTATACTTTAAATTGTAGATAATCTAAATTGTAAACAATTGATTTTCATCTGAATGCCTAATTTACTAATTATTTCTGGTTTAAAATAAATCGGATCTAAGATTAACAAGCCTGGTGTAAATGGGGTACCAGATCTCAAACGGTGAGAGTTGTGGGTGCTGTAAGTAATTATGAATTATGTTTCCATAAAACTATCCAGAAGCCAGTTCGTATTCTCAACAATAATATGGCGTGATCTTTTGGGTACAGGTGGTTACCCCAACGCACAAATGAACGCCACAATAAGTAGCTTTGGTTGAAGTTCTGGCGACCACTAACGGCACTTGTGTATAATTGTCCCGGATTGTATAAAACAAAAGGCTCTCCGGGAGTTTACAGCCATGAGAGCTTCAAACTCAAAGTGTTGACTGTGGTCAATATTCAAGTCTTGATATCAAGGACGTGATATTGATTTTTCGAATATAGAGTCAAAGGGAGATCTCATTGTCAATTGGATTTCATTTGAAAAATCCCAGGAGTGGTCTGAATTGAACAGGCACAATTTTCGTTTCGCACTTTCAATTCCCTGCGCGAAAACATACCTAAACAGAAAATAAAATCAACCACATTATTGTTCATCCGTCAAGAAAAACAAGCCGATCATAGTGCAATCTCCGGTGGTTCATAGGTCCTAACAGGAAACCGCTCATATTTCGTGTTCTTCGCCGTTTTCCCTTCTTTCGTAGAGAGAAAGTCCGTCGCAAAGAAAGAGCTGAATTTCAGTGTCGTAGTGTTAATGCTGACATCTACGACATACATTTCCTGGCCCAGGAATGTTTCCTTGCTGATTTTTGCAGTGATCTTATGCTTGTAACGTGCGTCTTGATCAGATAACTCCGCATGTGCGGTATGCTCATCTAAACCGGACATCTCCTCAACCATATATCTTTCACCAGTCGCTTTCAGAAGGGACCCCCATCTAGCCGGATCATGATTGGATATTCGTTCGTCGTCGACCACTACTTTGCAGCAGTAGCAACTCTGGCTCGACTTATTCGACTTGATGTTAGTTTGGATGATCACCGCAAATGGTGTTCGTGAACCCGGCATGCTGGCAAAAAGTAACACTCCTCGACCATCGGGCGGTCTCAGGATCTTCTGCGAGTCGTTCCAATGCTCTTCCGGATAAACTACAACGAGAGGATATTCTGGCCCAGGAAGCCTTCGAATGAGGAAATGATTGGTTCTATCGTAATCTCTGGAGCTTGGAAGCAGGACTTCTTGTCTGATATATACGGTTCTGAGAACGGCCGTAGATACATGGTTGGGAATCACAACTACTGGTTGCCGATGAGATAAGTCCCGAGCGAACTGATCGCCACTGTCCGAGACGATTGGCTTTATATATATCCCCAGCGGACCCAAAAAGTTGTCTTTATAGTGACATTGAAGTATTGCGAGATAGTCCTTCGCATCTAGATATAGAATCTCAAGCTGGATACGCAATCCCTGGTTAGTCATCGAATATGGTGTGCTGATCTCCCAATTTCGATACGGTACAATACTGCCAGCATATTGAAATGCTGCTGGAGATTTGGCAAGAAAGCCTCCCAAATCTTGTAAAGATAGTTGATTCTGAGGCCCAAACTGTCTTTGAGTGAGAAGATCTTCGACCTTATTGTTCTCGGCATCTGTCTTGAACAGTTTGATACTCGATTGGCGGGCAACGTTTTCTGTATTTTCGTTCACCTGCCAAGCAAATAGAGACTGGTCATCGGAACTTTTCATGATTTCCTCTTGAAGTCGCACAAATGCTTTTTCCCCTTCACCATAAAGAAGGGGTAGATTAACACCAAATATACCAATAAGACAATACGCGATATCTTCAACTCTGGTAGTAACTCGCTTCGAGGCCCATGACATTCTCTTGGCAATACTCTCTTCCGCAACAGGCCTTCCTTGGAGAGTTGCTGCATCAATACCGGTAACACGGGCAATCAAATCGCTCAGAAAATCTTTTGTTCCAATTAACTTCCAGTCCTGGGAAAAGAATCGCACACTCGTTGGAGCCAGCAGTTCTTGCAGTGTCCACCCTCGGGTCCACCACCTTGAAGCGGTAAACTTTGAGTAACGTTTCACTTTATCAGAAGAGGACTCCAACGAGCTCGAGCTCGGTGGGTCTGAAGGCAATGGAACATCGACGAGGTAAGCATAGCAGATTGCCGCATTAGAATACCAGACATACATCGAATTGATAGCTTCAGAGAGTTCCGCGCTGCTGGTTTTATCGATACAACACGTGTCGATCCAGACATATTCAAAGCCGTCTTCGGCAGCTTGCTTACAACAATTTGTTATCTTGCGGAAGCCTGTCTTCTTTTTAGCGTGCTCGTGAGACCCATTGATATTCAAGATTTCATGACAATCCAATTCTTCTTTCTCCCACGTGTGGGACAAAATGGCGTATGAGGGGGTAGCATTTTGAAAGAAATCTTCGAGCTCAAGTGTGCGACAATGGAGAAGACGCATACTAGTATAATCCGAAGGTATAATTGTTGTCCGTTGATGAAAGTGGAGATGTCTCGATGAGGTGAAACGCCGAGGTGCGGGGAAGTGGAGGGCATCGATTTCCCCAGGGAGGGTGTCACGAGAAGCGATCGAGAGGACACCAATTTTGTGAGCCATTCAAAACAAACAAACCCCCCTTTTCGCTCTCGCCTACCAAGGCACAAACCACTATTGCCTCCTATGACACGTGTGCTTGTAGATAATTTTCTTGGCCACGAATACACCGACCGACGCTTCAAGCCTGTCGTCACCTTGCCTCATGCTCATATGCCAGCGTCCACCCAGTGCTGTTGAGTAATGGAGTCTATATCTCTAAGCTGATGTTCCTTGGGTGCACATCTCAAACTCTGCCAGATCCACTCAGAGTAGCTTTTCTGGATCTTTTCCGCTGCCAAACTCAAAGCTGATAAGGTTCATAGACCAAGATTTGCTTATTAGAGCCATTAACCACGTCTGCCGACGAATCACTACGAACCCTTCTCGAGCTACAACATGTCCTTAACCATACGTAACTTGATACACCGAGGGACAAATACTGTGGGTCGAAACTATTCAATATTGTCTGTTACGCCAGGAAATACCGTGTTAGTAACATCAAGGGGGAAAGGGTTGCCAGTTGCGAACTTTCGCAAGTGCAAAAAGCTCTCCTGCGACTCGAGATCTGACAGTACCTGGATCTTCCATTCAAATTAAACCTTAATAATTTACTGGGATACACTCCTTAAGGTTGCCGCGGTCATACCCTTATGTCCATCGCCTTTATAATGGTTTAGGAGCATAACCATGGTCAAAGAATATACTTAAGAATTTTAGGTTCCCAGAGTTTTTAATTATATAAAATAACCTTACTTATATGCTTAGAAGTTATACATCCCTCTAAAACAAAGTGACATTTTAGCAACAATAATTATAAGATTATATGAACAGTACTTGTACTAATGTTATGAATATATGTATAATACTCGATAACTACATTATATACTCCTGATGCTTAAATATGCAACCTTATTACATCCTATTTGAAGAGTCTTGCCATTAGAATAACCTTGGTAATATCCTTAAGGAAAAAGGGTCTAGACAGCTCGCGTCTCCTCCTTCCATGTACAGTATATAACATTGTAGGCAGGGTATAACCCCACAATATAACCCTCTAAGCTATAAGGATTGACGGGTTCATATGGAGGTACTCGTATACCAAAAGGTAACAAAGGTGGAGGAGAACCGAGCTGTCCAGACCGTTTACTTACAAAAGGTACCTACCTATCCGAGTATCAAGGTTTTTCTGTGTCTTGTCTTGGTGTAATTTTAATCATGTCTCGTAAGAGTCGTATTTTTCATAGCCCGAGTCTCTGCTGGCGCTGTCAAAGTCATAGCTTCTGATTTTGAGAACACTAACGTGATCCAGTACGGCAATTTCAAAACATAAGAAGACGGCGAGAAGAGCAAGAACCTGTAAATGAAAGATACTCGCCGAGGGGGTCTCAACTTTAATACTTCTGTTACTCAGGAGGATTTATTTGTCCGGTATATACTGCAGAGCAGTATCATAAGTTTGAGTCAACCAGAGTAAGCCAAGAAACTCCTACCGTATGTATTTGCGACCCCGCAAGCCACCTTTTATGGCTTTTAGAGGCGGTCAAGCCCATTATTTCATACTTTTGCGCTGGCTGTTATCATGATTATCAACCTCCTCAACCCCTGACGCTGACAATTCCCCGGCAATACTGGCGTTGTATCAACTTCTTTCCTTCATCTACTACGACCAATTATCGTGAAGAAAATCAATTGGACAGTGATTGTGTCTTGAGAATCACTCAGGTGGCACACAAGTCTATTGCCGTTGCGTTGTATCACTGGATTGGCATGGAAATATCAGAAAGGGTCCGATGGAGTAGAGCAATTTATTAGACTTTGCAAAAGTGCTTGTTTCATACTAACTTCGGTCCTTTACCAGTGTGATGGCCAAACCAAGTTCTGCAGGGTGGTTTTACTTTATAGTCTGGTAACCCAGCATGGTGTGTCCTTGGAACTGGGTAATTTAGTGGAGTGAATATTGACAGTGTACGCCCTCTCGCACATATCTTTGATTATACGACTTCAGTGGCCTCCTGTCGACCACTTCGCGAGTTTAACAGCCTCTTAGCCCCCAGTTCCACCTACTCTTCTGCAAGCTAGCAAACAACAAAGACCCTAAGCTTTTAGCTAAGGCCAAGAAGAACCCCCAGCTGCTCTTTGGACATCACTGCGAGAAACTTTTTAGCCTGGTCTACTTTAAGACCGAATTCTACATCAAAATCTGTCTCTAGTTAGACACGCCTCCTTTTCTTTCCCTTCTCGTTTAATTATATAAGCTGTTCTGAAAGTGGAACTTCTCTTTAAATTGTCTCTTGTAAATTAGCTCATTCGTTTACACCCCCTGTAGCCTAGGGCACCCCCCTAGCGTCATTTGCCCTATTTTGGGACTCTTCTAGGACCTAGCCCACGCGAGCTAGAATCCGCCTGACGTTAAATAGTAATAAATAATAAATAAACAATAGCCTCTTAGCCAAGTAGGAGTGTGAACTTCAGTCTTAGAAGGTGCATATGTATTATAAATAAGCAGTTTGCAGACGTCCCGTGATGTTCTCAATTCTCCTCATCGCAGCCGCAGCGGTCTCAGGCGTTGCTGCTCTCCCATTTGCTCTCCCACAGTCTGGTAAGTTAACCCAAAACAATTTTATCACTATGCTCTGTATAGTTTCCTAACCAACGCAGGGTTTCCCACCTGCAAGCAACATTGCAACGACAAGAGAAGCCTTTTCTTCCGGGCTTTAGGGATACGTGCAGAGGGTCGGGTCTAAGCGAGCGACATGTTGCACCTTCGTCATGCGAATACCATCCTTTGAGAGTGGGGCGATTATTGTTGTTCTATCGTGTACAAGTACAGTCAGCGCCTCAATATGTAACAATTTCAATCGTCAAGCTGCTTTACTCGATCGGTGCATGCAATATTTTGCATTTACAGTAGTGTACTCGCCAGATTTGTGTCAAAGCATATACTCCGTGATCAGCAAGGATTCAAAACTGCTCAAGAAGCATCGCAGAATATCAAACATATGTTTCAGGGTATTGTTACCACATTCTTTGCTGCCGAGACTGAGTAGGAATGAAAGGTCTTGTCTGAAATGAAGCTGTGCCCCTATGGACTCCCCACGGAAACAAGATTTCTCAGGGCTACTTCTCACTCCACTCTTATCGGGTTATGACCATAATGTATGCCTTTTTCACATAGGCTAAATTCGGAGCGAGCTTGTAGGGTGACCATTACAAAGTATCGGCCTCGGATATCCTCCGTGCGTAGCCTTCTTCTTGAAGCTGGTGCTGGTCCCAGAAGTGAAGCGTGTGAACATGGAAATATCTTCAAATGGCGAGGTACGAGAAGAAACCGGCTCAGGCTTGTGTATATCGAGATGCAAGAAAGCAAATGAAATAAGCGGCTGGGTGGTTGGTCATCGTGAGAAAGTGCAGGAGATTAGCGACATAACGAAACTTCTTGAACTTTTGTGACTGTAATATGTTCAATAACACATCAAGGTAATGGATGATTGGAATCAGATTGGTATAAATATGATGCCACCAGAGACTCTCGAATCATACAAGCTAATCCGAACAATGAACCCCAACTTTCTCATTGATCTTCCGGTAGATTTCCGCCATCTCATGGATTGGAGTTCTATTCGAGATACCTTCTACGTCACTCTCTTGAAGAACGACATATCCCCTATCAGTAAGCCATTGCGCGACATCGTTCACCTCTTTACCTTTCAACATATCAAGTATTATCTCACATTGGTTTTCATCCGGGTACCTCTTCCACTTTTCTCTCGAACCCAAGGAAAGTAATGATTTCGGCTAGCCTAGAAGTTCGTTGATAGCGTCAGAATCTTCATCTGTCGCTTCATAAGCAACATCATAATCCATGACGATGAGGATTTTGCGATGTGCTTTTGTGTAATGTAGGTTTGAACCAGGTTTAAAAAAGTGTGCCGGTACCTCATTCCCAAATTCAGATAGGATAGCATCCACGCAGTTACTCTCTATAATAAAACCCATTTTATCTCCATTAAAATGTCTATCATAAAACGGACGTGTTCTTTCCATGTATTCTATGCCGCTCTCAATTCCGTCGCAGAATATAAACTCCCGCTTGAGTTCAGCATCAGATTCAAAGAACAGATGTAGAAAGAGTTCCAATTGCTCGGGGTCTTCACTCAATACAGATATTTCACTGCTGTCGTAGTCGAATGTACCAAAAGACAACCCGAGAATAGGAACAGGAAAATGTAGAACTTGAGACCCAGATCTCATGCTAATAAGCCCATGCCATTTAGGATCCGCACCTTTTCTCAAAAGTTCTGATACCGTTCTATTTGTTCGCAAGATAAACTTCGTCATGCAACAAAGCAGTAGGTAATTCCGAAGAGCAGCACTTGAGCGTCCACATTCATTTTCATATAGAGAGTAAACTTGTGGGAAGCCATACCGGGCAAGGTTGTCAAAACCCCAATTCCACCCGTTCTTTCTATAAACCGCCCAGTTAAGCTCAACAAGTTCAAGCTCTTTCTCTTGTGGTAGTGAAACTTTATTCGAGGAAATGCAGTGCATCATCAGGTCAAAGTCAAGATATCATCGGTGGCTATCATACTTTTCAGTGAGAATATGTGCTTGTAGAATTTGAAATTGGTTCTCTGAGGACGGCGTCTTATCAAGGCCCAACATCCTTGCACGAGAATTAAGCAGAAATTCCCTTGCGCTTCTGTGGATGAACTCGACACTGATTCTATCCCACGGTGTTATGATTTCCTCTGATAGAAGCTTTTCTAGTTCAAATGTGGGCCATGATTGCGAAACAACCTCAAGCCGCCCCGCACATCTCGAGGTCAATCTGCGTTCGAAGTCAAGCAGGAACGGTTTTAATTCTTGCGGATGTGGTGTGGATGCAAGGAGAGTTTTCCAAAATTCTGGTTCGAAAGCAATTGCATAGCCAAGTAGATTCCACTCGAAAGGTCCCTCCCCAGGGTCCATAATGCCAGCTATCAAATCTTTCATGGCGAGAAATATGTTGCAATACATTGCTGCTATATGTTTGTAGTTATCCTGGTCTTCGCTAAGCCTTTCGAACATATTGTCGTAAAGTTTCTCAAGCCTGCGTGGGAGCTTCTGGAGTCGATTAAACAACTCTTCTGGGCGATCCCCGCTAGAAAGTCCCCTCTGCAGACTTTGAAGAGCAAGCGATACCCAAAGGAAAACCCCGTCAGCCTTACGAACGACTTCATCAACGAATGTTTCTTCGGTGACGTCTTCGAAATCAAAGGAGCATTTGATCCGTATAAAGTCTCGAGTATAAGATTCTACGTCTCCTTTTGTCAGATCTTGAAACTGGAGCTTGGGGAAATTTTGGAGTTCAGAGATAAAGGCGGGTTCTGGGCGACTTGATACACATATCTTGGTGTTCCCTTTAGAAGAAGATAAAACATATTTTATGAAATGCAGGAGATTATAAGGACCTTGGAGTTCAGATGAATCTTGCTCTGAGGCGATCTCGTCCAACCCATCGAGAAAAATACACACAGGCTGTTGGTGAAATGCCAATGAACTTGAGAGAAAACTTCTCAAAGACTCTATCGACCAATCATTAGTATTCTGGGCTTTGGAAATGTGCGGACATGTTCTCAGAGCTTCCGCCATGATTTTACTGTCTTCGTCGAAGATTTGATATAGCAAAGAGGAGAGAAGACCTTTCAGACTTCTCTGCATCGTGCTTCCAGAATTCCAAATGAAGTAGGAATACACCATGTGACCTGGAGCCGACCGGTTCAGGTATGTTTTCGTTTCGTCCGCTTCCACGAGAAACTTCATCAAAGTACTTTTGCCCGATCCCGCTTTTCCTCGTATCCAATATATTTCGCTGCTGTCGCCACTGAGCCACTCGGGAAAACTATCCCATGGTCGTTGTCCCTCTGGATCAAAGATCCAAGAAAATGTCTCGGCATGGTTATTCTCGATTTGGTTCCTACTTGTGTTCATATTGCTGTCTCGAAGGCTATTGAGTAATTTAGATTTGGTTTCGTCCAACTGTTCATTTTTCAATATGGATCTATTTAATCGCAAAATTTTCACCGCGCTGCTTGAATCTAGTGCGGTGATCAAAATGGCTGCTTCTTGGTGGCCTGTTTGAGGCTGGCCGTTGTCTTCGCTATGGCCTTAGGCAATCATAAAAGCGTCGACGTCTTGAGGCAGAAATTTGCTGATTCGGAGCTGGTTTGGTACGTTTGATGATACTTGCGGCTCGAAAAACAGGTTGGGATTGTCAAAGTTATCCAAAATAAGGAGCCATGGCCCATTCGCAAGCTCGTTTAGCCAGTCCCGGACTAGAATCAGATAATTAGGTCGATGATGTTCAGATACTGGTATGGCCAACTCTTCGGCAATCTCTTTGTAAGCTTGTTCAAAACCACCAAAGTTCTTCGTGTTTTTCCAGAATATGTGGCCATCCTGATAATGACCCTTCCATCTATCGTTGTATTCTCTTGCAACTTGAGACGTTCTGATCGAGTATCAGCACTGCCAGCTTCAAATAAAGGTAGAACTTACTGAAGGCCCTTAGATACACATAATACCAAACGATGCCGTACCTCAAGTCGATCAGTGAGCTCTTGTATGGCAGTCTCTCGTTCATTGCTTTCGGCTCCCTGTCGAAGCCGCCGAAAGGCCCTTTTTCTTCCTTCGCCATATAAAACTGGCAAAGATACACCGAACATTCCCCACAGAGAATAGGCCAGATCTTCTTCGTATCTGGTATTTCTTTTCAATACCCAAGAAATACATTGGTCGACATCGACCTTTGAGATACCAAAGTCCCGAAGAGCTTTGATTGGAATCTTCGTTATATCGTTAATAAGGCCATCGAGAGAGAACTTATCACCGAGTCGCTTATGGTTGTAAGAGAAAAATTCTACTGAACGAGGGGCAAGGAGCTCTTGTAGTGTCCAGCCTCGAGTCCACCAACGAGACGACCGGAAAGCCGGTACAAAGTCGACATGAGAAATATTTTCAGTTGCATCCTCCGCAACGGAAACATCCGAGAGAAATACATAACATTTCTCAGCCTTCTGATACCATCGAAACATGGAGTTGATGGACATCTGGACCTCACTCGAATCAAACTTGTTGATACAACAAGTATCTACCCAAAAGTATCGAAGACCATCCTTTGTCGCCTGCTCTCCACAGAAACAAATCTTCTGGAACCCCGGTTTAGACTTTCCTGAACCTGATTTCAGGTCTTGAAAGGTGACCTCTTGATCGTTGTCTGGCAACCAAGTGTGTGAAAGTATCGCATACTTAGGCAGCTTGTCGTTTAAAAGAGGGTCAGTGAGGCTGATTTCGCCATTGTCCCACTGTAGAAGGCGCATTGTAGCAGGAAATAGATCCTTCAAAGGCTAAGGAAAGGCTAAGGTGGAGCTAAGGCTAGATGAAGAATGTCTGATATGAGGTGGGTTCGAGATGAGGTGTTCCAGGCGCCAGGCGAGCGAAAAACGGATGGCCCGTTAAAAATGCTGTGCTAATTGTTACACCGCAGATTATCGGCATCACAAGCCGTAAACGATGGTGTGCATATTAAGGAGCAAGGAGCGAATCAAAGATTCAAACAGAACGGGGGGTTTTATGCACGTGACTAGGAGTAATCTTACCTATTTGTATTTACTTCTCAACTGTGAAAGGATTGGAGGCAATGGTACACAAGGGCAAACCACTGGTTGTCGCTTCTGATACCCAAAGCCAAAATAATAATAGTTGGGAAAAACCGTCATGTGAGTACTGCATGACACTTGAGTTTTGAGGCTTACCAAATTACATTCTTTCAATTTTCAGGCAAGCGAACGCCTAGGAGGAGGGTAAGCGGCTATCAACCTTATCTCCTGCACCGCCCAGCGTAACTCTTGACAAGAATTAAGCACCCTCACGTAGAATTATTTAAGGCATAAAATACAGGTCAGTTCTGACAGCTTGGGACTGCCAAGCTATTGATTGTACAAAGTTTCAGTAAGGAGATATATAGTTACAAGACTAGAACGTGACTATATATTCCTAACAAGATACCTATTTAATTAGTAATAGAAGTACTTTTCTTTATATACATATAATTATATACTAAATCTTAATTAGGATTAGGTAAAGAACTCATTTAGCTTAAGCTGTTCTTTGTATTAGAAGACGTCGTATTGTAAGTCTTAGTACAAATCATATGTTGTTTTTCTACCTAGGTTAGCACGTCCTTGACCCACTTTCAAGTTACGCCGGGCGGCGTAGGAGATAGCGTCCATTTAAATATAGAGTAACAAGCGTTTGGTTCCTTGTCATTGACACCAAACTGCAAGTTCCTGAGAGGGGTTGTACCAACAGAATGGAACACATGAGTCCATTTGTGTCAAGAGATGTACAGGAAAGATTGAGAAACTCCTTGTTTTGTTTCCAGCCCTATCATTCTCGTATATAGTTTGTTGGATTTGATGTGACGCAAGAGGCCTTTAGCAAGTTTCGAAAATTGATTGATTGACAAAGTAAAACCTCGCTACCTACAACGATCTTCGTTGAAATTACGATACCCTTTCCCTTTAGAAACTGCTAGCATCCTTGTAACCGTAGGAATGGCGGGCATTGCTCTGTACACGCTCTCAAATGTTATTATGCCAAAAGTCTGGCACAAGTAAATCGATTGTCCCATTTCGCCTAGGTTCATAAGGAGTGAAACGTAACAATCATTCTAAACTATTCGTATAATTGTTTTAGTTGTGTGAGGTCTTTGAGATAATATTTTTGTAACCCAAGTGTGTACAGAGTAATGCCCGCCTCCCTTACTGTACTCCCTCGCTCTCCATGTCGCCATTAAACCGCACATTTTACGCTTATGTACCATATTATACCTGCATTTTCTTTGAATTAATTAAATGAATTAGAAAATACGAGGAAACCCTCAAGTGTTTTTAGCATCTGTTCTGTCGAGGTAGAGCTTTTTAGAAATTCTATGGAATTGTTCGTTAAGTAAAATAGGCCTCGATCGAGTTTACAACGGGACGAAAATAGTAGGGTGGGTCCCAATACACTGACGCCCCGGCGTCAGTTTAGAGCTGACTAAGCGCGGGTTTTCACGCCCCCCCACCATCCACGAACACTCTACTTATAAGTTACCTATAATTAATACATGCTTAACAAAATAACATATAATAAATCCTACAATATATATCGCTCCGAGTCTCGCGCATACTCCTCCTCAAGTCTAGCCCATATATCCCTAATCCTATTCTCAGTATTCCTATTCCTATTCCTAATAAACTCTGATTCAAGCATATTATACTCATCTTGCTCCTTCTTTTCCTTACCTATAATTAATACATGCTTAACAAAATAACATATAATAAATCCTACAATATATATCGCTCCGAGTCTCGCGCATACTCCTCCTCAAGTCTAGCCCATATATCCCTACTCCTATTCTCAGTATTCCTATTCCTATTCCTAATAAACTCTGATTCAAGCATATTATACTCATCTTGCTCCTTCTTTTCCTCGTTATCTAGCCATGCTATAATCTCCTCATTTGTCCAGTCAGCTTTATTTGTAATAATAGTACCTGTAAGATCACGCCGCTCCCTAGGCATATAAAATACCTGCTCTTTTAAAATTTTCGGCCTAGGTGTTTTCCATTTTCGGGCCTTACGATATTCTGCTGGCCGTGTAGTAGGATGCTGGGCTAGCCAGGCTGTTCTTTCAGCTAGGTAGGCCAGAATTAAGACTTCTGGCCGATCTGGTGAAAGCTGCTTAGGTACAGTTGGTGCTAGAGATGCTAAAGTTGCTGATGCTAGAGGTGCTGAAGGTGCTGTAGGTGATGTGGATAATGTGGGTGATGTGGGCACTGTATCTAATTCAAGGAGAATCTGGCTTTGAGCAGCAATTGATGCTTGTAGTTTCAACGGGCAGCTACGGCTACTCATTGTGTGGCCTTGCCTGTGGCATGCAGAGCATTTAGGTAATTGCTTTGCTTTTTT